CATAGTAACGACACGGCGATGATAATATGGCAGTGACAATGAAACTATGGCACGATGATGTTCGTATACAAATCAAAAACTTTTTTCAGTTGTAAACCATGCCTTCTGCTTATTATCATCTATTTTGAATGCGGCAGGCTGAAAAAAGGAACGTGTAAATCGCTTAAAAAGCTAAAAAGTATTATCAACTAGTGCCGAATACTAGTACTCCTGCTACTACTACTACTACTACTACTACTATTACTGCTGCTACTACTACTACTACTACTACTACTACACACACACACACACCACACACATATACCCATACATACACACATGCACTCACATACTTGCATACATGCAAAGAAACATGGGTGGGACAAACTTACTCAATTAAAAACAAATATTGACATTTTTTTGTTTCTTTGTTTTTTTCACATTAGTCCAAGTCATTTATGAATAAATTAAAAAATTCAACATTACACCAATATGTAACATAATAGAAGAATTCTTCCAGACAATCTCGTGAAGAAATTAATTAAATGTGGTTGATCTCGTCCGAGAAGCAGCAATTTTTCAAATAATTTATTCTCCACTGAAGGTTCCTGTGAGTTGCACGACAAAGCAATGTGATTTACTGCCTTTCTAATTCTTTTGTGATAATTATAATGATAATCTTAATAATTTCACTCACGTAGTGACATCTTCTTTCATATTTTTTTAATTATAATAATAATAATTATTACAAAGACAGCTAGGGTTGGCATAAAACAACAAAATTTCACTGAAACAAACAATACGGATTCTTCTGCTTGTAAATAGTAATTTGCTGTAATAACAACTCATATCACTAGCTACAGAAATTCTTTTGCCGTTCATATCGGTTTTAAGTACCTCGTAAAAATGAAGCAATGAAAAATGGTGCAATACAAGTCGGACGGACGAAGATAATGTACTGTTTAAATGTACAACACAACCAATTGTTGTTACTTTTTCTGTTCACTAGTTCGTTTATGTTTGTGTTACAAATTCACGGCTTTCGTATCAATTTACAACGCGTTTCGTTCTTACTTCCTGGACAAAAATATGGTACCGTAGTTATGTGTTTCAGTGTGCGTGTGTGTGCGTGTGTGTGTGTTAGATCTACGAAAATAACGTTGAAGAGAGAATGTACGTGTATATATGCTTCTTGCTGTACTAATCTTTATAATGCATGGATGTTTTTTGGTTGTTGCTGGTTGTGGTCCATCTGCGTCTGCGTCTGCGTGCACTTGCTGGCCATCTATCACCTGCTGGCAAATGGTGGAATGGATGTCGACGTCATTCATTAATTAGTCCCCATCATCACCTACGTTTCTTCTGCCTACAACTTCGCCCCTGCTAACTAGATCATTTACATTTAAATTGACATTTGCATTTGTCAACAATTTTTTCCAGATAAGAAAACCAACGAAAGAGACATGGAAACTTTAAGGAATGGATGTTTGAAAATTTCAGTGAGTATTGCTGCTTATCAACTCGCCTGTGATTGATCGCGCAATCCGCTGTTCATATTATTCCGCAGATGATTTGCTGAATATGGATTTATTCTTTCCAGACCAGCTCACTGGATTATCCGACTTAGTCTTCAGGGTGGTGCGAGCATAAAATTGATTTAAGGAATTTTCACTTCACAAGAAAATTCATATTAAAAATGATATTATGCTTTAAAGTTTTCTATTTGTGCTTTTCCTCCCTGTTTCCATATCTATATATTTCTGTCTACATCCACACCCATACATTTATCTACCAATCCATCTATTTTTTCTTTCTTCCCAATTAACACAAACACACATTTCCCTTAAAAATAAACACCAATACGTCACGAAAACAATTCCAGGCAAAACCCCGAAACGCTTTATTAACGCGGACGTTCGTACATGGAGATGGAAAGTATAAGGTGGTGCTGTGTGCGTGTGTGTCGGATGGATGGATGTTGAAGGGATGGGATGTGGTGTATTCCATGTTGTTGTATTTAATGTTAGTGCTCTGGTTTAAAAAGCAAAAAATTCTTATGGGTGTACAGATGTACAGCACAGTGCAGTGCACGTATGTCTGTAAGGAGTGCATGGAAGCGATGCCCATATGCACACGGAAGAATGACCGAATCCGAACAAACTAAGGAATAAATCAAACGAACGAAAAAAACGATTCAAACGAAACTATGAAGGAACAAACGAAAGTGAAAAGTAATAAATCACAATTTCTCATTTTATTTTTCAGATTAACATCATGAACGCCGTTTAAACATCTTAAAGATAGAACAACTGGTAAGCAAAACATCCGTTAATGAATTATGAAAACGATAGACACCATTAAATGCCCAAAGGAATTTTTCATTTTCAGGACATCATCCCATTATCCTTTTACAAAGACCAGGATATAAATCCCAATATCATATTAGCAGCAGTGAAAAGAGCCAACTGTTAAGCTAACAAATGCCCACACAGAGGATATTACGAAGTATTTCGCAGGTCCTTGAAGATGTAATTAATTAATTTAATGGTCCGACAGAGCAAACAGGACAAATTAATTCCATCTGATGTTGATATATCGCGTTTTTCTATTTTCATGAGTTCGACAAACAATTTTTTATAAATATAAAATTTATTAAAAAGACGAACGGCATGTTAGCCTAGTTAATGTAACGAATGATTAATACAATTATTATACTATTAATTAATAAAGTCATTGATGTTGTTATTGTAATCGTTATTGTTATCATTATTGAAAGGTGGTGTTACATGTTAAAATTATTTTTAAATCTAAACGTAGAAAACACAATTAAACATAGGAATGAATTAAAACTTAATGTTATGGACAAAAAGTCATTAATCTGTGTATGTACGGCTGTGCATTAAAAGAGAATGAAGAAAACGCTTGTTACTTACGTATAATGGGCAAAAAACACATTTCATTCAATAAGTCTGGTGATCTTTTAGTTATATATAACGAGAAGTAAAATTACAGTTGAAAAATAGATATGTGAGATGAATTAAAAAGAATCATCTTAGGCATTATAAACAGGCCTGTTGTAAATAGAATAGTGTAGGATTAATAAATATAAGTGATTGCGATAAACTATCAATACTCGTGCGACGATGATAATAAGAAATGTAAGAGAATACAATCATTTTTACATCGGTAATTAAATTTACAAATCCGTGCATTAGATTTAAAAATTAACTTTTAAAAATTAGACAGTAGAGCATAAACAAAAAAATCTAACCAAATCATTATTAACATCTCAAATGTAGGAAGAGATGACATAAGACACATACAAAAATATATATAAGTATTGAAGTTATTTATCGGAAAATGAAATTGAGAAGGCTGATAGAAATAATTATTAAAAGAAAAAGCAGTAGTAGCATTTGATAGCGTAATGACAACTGGCCTTGGCTTGGATCAGTTAGAAAATAGGCAAGCATTGGTTGATGTATCCATATTAAATGGTGCGTGCAAAAGTAAAACGAGTTAGCAACTGCGTATTATTAACTAGTTGGAGATAAAAAAAATTCAACTATATTATTATCACCCGTCATCTAATCTTATTTTGTACTGTTTGCTTTTGCTATCGACATCTTATGTCCTCCATGTTGCATCAATTTTGAAGCATTTGTCGGAGTTTTATTTTTTCATAGGAAATAATAAAAAATTGCAAGCCAACTATAAAAATCGTGAATTTGGCAGAGTATTCTCTGAAAGGTGGTGACGATGGAGGATGATGGTGATGAGAATGATGAGATGATAACAAAAAGGACGATGATATCAATTAGTCAAGCATTGCACTGTAGCTGAAAATCTAAACATATGAAATAGTTGCTGAAACCAAACACACCTGGCTAGTCAGCTAGCTGGATGCGTGGATTTGATTGAAGTTATTAAGTAAACAGAAATTTAAAAAAAAATGAATTTTTGTTAACAAAAGGCGATACTTTGACAACGTCATAAATGAAGAACGTTGTTCTCAATAATCATATCAAACAATTGAAAAAAACGGAAGAAATTTAAAAAAAAATGAATTTTTGTTAACAAAAGGCGATACTTTGACAACGTTATAAATGAAGAACGTTGTTCTCAATAATCATATCAAACAATTGAAAAAAACGGATTATGAAAGAAAAAGCACAATGGGACATAATGTTTGATGATGCTAATGTTATTTAAAATACCTGTCGTTTATTCGGTTATGGCTGGCAGCATACAACAATAATTCATCATTCATTTTGATGTTTATTATTTTAAATGATAAAATTTTAATAAATGCTACATGTGATTAAATGGTTAATAGACCTGGACACATTGAAGGGGGAAATTAAGGGATGTAAATATGATAACCTTGGGAACAAGGTGTCAACAAAGGCACTGAAGTTGAAAAATATATATACTGAAAAAATTTATAAAAAATTGTACGCCACGAATATGCACACACACACACACACACACACACACACACACACACACACACACACACACACACACAAATTTTATTATGTTTGAAATTGGGGAAAATGTTTTTAATAACTGATGAAAATGTTTTAAAAAAATATGAAAGAATTCATGAAAAAGTAAAAATTACAGTGCAATTCCTAATTTGATAAACTATTTATTATTTGATCAATAGCTTGATGGAAAGTTCAAGGTTACAAAAAATAATACTAGAAAATTTTCTTTAAAAGTTCAAACAAACAAGAAAGGAAAAAAAATTATAAATGAAACATTTAAAACACTCCACATTAACAACAAAACTTTGCAACATTTCAAAGGACCTTCTGGCATTCATCAAATCAATTTCATTTTTATTTACATAGTCTTACAAAAAATATTTCGAACAATCTCAAAACATTATTTTCACCAGCGCCAGCCATTATCATCATTTTCATCATCGTCATTTTCATCGTCTTCATTATTATCATCGTCATAATTATTATCATCGTCATCATCATTTTCATTATGGTTATCTTCGTCAGTGCTGTCTATAATTCAAAAACTTCAAGTCCCTTATCTGTGGCAGCAGCCAGAATCCTCAACTCGTCGAGGTACGCAAGACCCCAGGGCGAGCCCTTCGTAGAGACGACATTGTTGATCAGCTGGCCCTCACCACTGAACATGGCAACTGTCGTGGGTGGGGCAAGATGCAAATTATATTTTTTATATTCATCTCCATAATCCAAGTTATTCATCATTCATTCATTATCACGAAAGTTAACATTTATTCATTACCATATCTTTCTTGATAGAAACTTTGTTCATTAAAAACATAAAATGACAATAACATTAAAAAAATTACTATACAATATCTCAACTTTGTTACCAATGCAATTCCATTCTATTGCTGGTACCTATTGATACTCAACCACACAATCCAAACAGAGATGTACATGCAAATAGGACCAGCACCACTACTAACTTCCCCTCATAGCCTGATCAGCCACGAAGATGTTGTTAGCGTCGTCAACAGCCACTCCCTGGGGCTCCATTTCTTTAGTGCCATCAAACGAACAACTGCAACTGAACTTTAAAATTTGTGAACCGTCCTCAGCCGAAAAGACTTTCACGTGTCGTTCCTCGATATCCGAGACGATGACTCGATCTCGGTGGTCGACCACCACGTAATTTGAAAGTCCAACCTCGCTGTCACCCTTCCCTCTGTTGCCAAATTCCAGTTTTCGTTCGACGTAGTTGGACGTTTGAAAGTAGACGGCCAGTCGGTGGGGTCTGTTCCCCGAGTCGGTGACCACGTAGTCCCCGCACCTGGTCATTGATATTCCAGTAGGTCGGTCCAAATATGATTGGCTCATTGTTAGGACACGTGAACATTTGCCTGTTGGGTTTGTAAATAATTATCAAAAAGATCATTTATTTTTATACTTGCAAGTTAACATGGAAGGACATTTTTAACTATTTACATGCACAGGTATCCATGTTTTAATAGTACGAAGTCGTACCTATTAAACTCTCTTGAGTTCTCTGCAATACAACATTTTACCACCTATACACAAAGCTCTACACCATCATTCAATAATATGCCACATACATCCATCCATGAACACCATTTTAAACAATCATCCATTGACCTGACTCGTCCAGTTGAATCCTCTTGATAGCCCTGCTTGCATGGTCGGTGACGATGATGCTGTTTCCAGATGATTGGAAGATGATGGACCAGGGTTCAACTACCTGCCTCGTGTTGATAGCATGGTGCAGGTTGCCTGATATTGTTGTCATGGTTAATTAAATATCAAATGAGGAATAGTAAGATAAATGGAAAAAGAAAGTAAAGTGAAATTGAAAAGATTAAATTTAAATTGTTTTTAACTTCAGGGTTACAAAACTTTTTAATACATTCATGAGACAAATTAGCAACTGATAGACATGGAAATAAACTCTAAAGTTAAATAAACCTTTCAAATCAAAAGCTTTGATGCGGTCAGCTGCATTTGTGGCTTTGTAGTCGCAGGCAACAACAAGCCATTGGTCAGCCAACTTCATGAAACAACAGTCTCGACATTGTGAAAATCCCTCGGCTACCCAATGCAACTTCTTCCTACTCGGTGATGTGGCGATTGTCGTTTGGAGGGCAGTCCTTGACAGTCGGCCGCTCAACCTTCTACTCAATGTTTTGATTATTTTATCTGGGGCCTCTTGTTTTGGCACTGTCAAGCTGTCTTTCCTATCCAAAGTTGAATTCAAATTAGGAGGTGGTTGGTCAATGTTTAATGTGGACGTTGAGACTTGAAGTTTTGAAATTTTTGCAGGTTTAGGTAAAGGATCAAATCTTTTGAACCTCAAATTTTCAGATTTGTTTTCTTTGTTGTTGAATGATTCCTTTCTCATTATTTGTTGATCTCTCACTGAATGTTCTTTGGTGCTTTGATTGCTGCTACTTGAAGCTGTTGCTGTTGATTCTGCTACTTTTTTATTCTTAACTAAAGTTCCTAGTGAAACATTTAAATTTAAAACAAATTTAAAAGTATCTGGCTGGATGGCTGGTTTTATATTATCCATAGATGGCATCAATGAAACTGATTGCTTTATTTGGTTAAAGTCCACAAAAAAATCTCTACTCCCTGGCTGAGATTTTAATTGCGAAACTAATTCAATATTTTTTTGACACATTTCAAAATTAGCATTAAGTTTGCTGCTAACTTCACTTAATTCGTGCATAGAATTGTCATGATTATTTATTAAGTTCATCAACAGTTGAGTTTCCATTTTCTCAATTGTGGCAACTGCTTGCTTGGCAGCTGCTTTGATATCACTTTCACACTCCTCATAATTCTTCATCTGGACTTTTTTCATCTCATCATACTGCTCTTTCATTGGCTGTGTCTTGGCTAGTTTACTTTTCAAATCACTTTCCATTGCTGCTAGTTGTGTTGTGTAAAGTGAAACAGCTGATGATTTCTCTTTGATAGAATGGCTGTTATGTTCTGAGAACAAACAACACACAGTACATAACAAAGTAGAACAGTCTTCACAGAAATATTTATAATCTGCATCATGTTCACCACATTTCTCAGGATCCTTGTTCTGACTGCCAGAATCACTCGATCCAAATTGTTTGTCATTTAAAACTACGTGATCCTGAAATATTTTTGTTTTTCCATGATGGGATAAACATTGAGAACAGAATGCCTTTTCACACTGCAGACAAAATCCTTCAGAATGTCTTTCTCTACGTTGAAATCGACAAATTGAACAATTACCAAAATCAAAATTTTGTTTAGTTTTACTTTTTTGTTGCGACTGAAGGGAGCTTTCAATGGCTGACATGAGGTCCAAAATCTGGGCAATCCTGAAATCGGTCGGCAGGGCTTCAAGCCCCTGGGGCGAAACGTAGCAGGTCTTTCTGCAGGTGGGGCACGGAAAGTTACTGACTGCAATCAGACGAGTCTTGTTCACAGATTCGTAACAATTCTTCAGACAGACCAAACAAAACGTATGATGACATGGAAGAACCTTGGGGTTCGTGAACTGGTCCATGCATATGGAACAAGTCGTCAACGATCGGGCCTGTTCCTCCAAATCCGACTCACACTCGGCGTCGGAAGAAGCCATTTTATGAATTTTAATATAAAAATAAAACAAATAATTATATTTTTGAATGATTGATCGTCACATAGAGAGAATTATTTAAGATATTTCTTTTCCTGCTTACCTGAACAATCAAAAAATTTGTATTTGAAAAAAAATAGGCGGCGGAGGTGGATATTCAATAAATATCAAAATTTTACTCTCAAAATTAAAAGTTGAAAAAATACAATAACTAAATTATTTTTATTATTTCATTTTTGAATTTTATTTATATTTAAAATTGTGTTTTTATAATTAGTGAACTTATATGAAATTAAATGCCGAGTAAAAAAAAGTTTACTTATCTATGTTTATTCCTAAAACCATAGCCTAACGAAATTTAAGTAATTTTTTGTTAAATTTTAGTAATAAATTGTCGGATATATTTGAAAAAAATGGAAGAAATAGGAATCGTAGCAACTCCTTTCACGCAAGTTTGTTACAAGTTTCATTACCACCGGTTTATGTGTTTTAATCAAATGCCTAGTCATTGATATTGATGATAGATTGATTGACAGTTTTTTCCATATCACTACAAAACCTTTCTTTTACTTTTGATTTTAAAAAGTTAAACTGCAAATTCAATATATTTCTAAATAGTTAAATTTTTAAGCTTAATTACTGTTAAATTAACTCAAAAATTGTTTATAAATGACATTAATTTTATTATTTGTTCTCCCACTGACAAAAGATGAAAAGAGACTTAGTCACTAAATTACTAAACTAACTAAACAAACAATAATAAGACAATGCTTACAAAATTTTAAATTAAATAATGAATGATTAACAAAGCATTTGTTTTATTCTATTTTATATAAATTTTTGACGACAAGGATGACAGTACAAGCTCAGATGTGAAGACGAACGTGTTGCCTAACTACACTTATGACCCTATGGCCCTTGATTTGGATGACCATTATGTGAAACTTAAGGTTTGTATTGTATAGTTTAGCATTGGAATCATTTATTTTGTTATCAGTATTATTGGTTGAATAAATAGCATAATTACACTGCTTTTGTTTTAAGCTTCCAATGTTTTTTCCTTTTTTCTTATGTGAAATATTATCTTGATAAGCATTTTTTCAACAGAAACTTCAAAAGCAGCTTGAGTTTTTAGAAGTTCAAGAAGAATATATAAAAGATGAGCAGAAAAATTTAAAGAAAGAATATTTGCATGCCCAAGAGGAAGTTAAGAGGATCCAAAGTGTCCCTCTTGTTATTGGACAGTTCCTGGAGGCTGTTGATCAGAACAATGGCATTGTTGGCTCAACAACTGGTTAGATTTTTTCTTTCTCTTCTGTTCATTCTATTTATTGCTCTTAACTAAAATCTTATTTTATTAAATATTTTAGTCATTTGATATTTATACAAATTAAGCTTCGTCATAAATTAAATGTCATCAAACCACCAGGCTCAAATTATTATGTGAGGATACTCTCAACTATTGACAGAGAGTTGTTGAAGCCAAGTGCCAGTGTAGCATTGCACAAGCACAGCAATGCACTGGTCGACGTCCTGCCTCCTGAAGCTGACAGTAGCATCACCATGTTATCAGCTGGTTAACCTTTTTAGTTATTTTATAAACTCATCATTCGTTTCTTCAAGTTGTTTTTGCTGGTTTTGTCATGGATAATGTACTAAAAGTTTTTAAATGTTGAGTGTTCCACCAAAATCATTCACTAGAAAATAATTAAATTCCCAGATGAGAAACCTGATGTAAGTTATTCAGATATTGGAGGCATGGACATTCAAAAGCAAGAGGTCCTCATTTAATTTTGTTCCATTCTTTATTTTTATTCATCATTCCAGTTGACTGTCAAGGCACTTTAAAAATTATTCTTCTTGATATCATCACCCTCTTCACATTCTGCACACAGGTCAGAGAGGCAGTGGAACTGCCACTCACTCACTTTGAACTCTACAAGCAAATTGGAATCGACCCACCAAGGGGGGTGCTCATGTTTGGTCCACCTGGTTGTGGCAAGACCATGTTGGCCAAAGCCGTTGCACACCACACCACTGGTCTGCTTCTGATTTTCTTTTTCAACATTCAATCAACTCAGTTGGGTCATTGACCTAGTCGTGTTATTCAAATCGTTTTTTCAACTTAATTTGAATTGAAAATATAAATAAAAAAAAATGTAAAAAATCTTTCATATCAGCTGCTTTCATACGAGTGGTCGGTTCAGAGTTTGTTCAGAAGTACCTGGGTGAGGGCCCTCGAATGGTCAGAGATGTTTTCAGACTTGCCAAAGAGAATGCACCTGCCATTATATTTATTGATGAGATTGATGCCATTGCTACCAAGAGATTTGATGCTCAAACTGGAGGTGTGTTGGTTTGGTTGGCTGCTGTTGGTAGGCCATCCTCATCTTTCAATGCTTCCTCACAACATCATTACTTATAAATTACTTCACAAACTACTCACTTTTTTAAAACAACATTTTACTTTACATGAGAATGCATATTGAATCTGAATTTTAGTGAAATGATTTCCACACAGTTTGATGATAGTTCAATTGACATGAATTAATACATATAATCCAGCTGACAGAGAAGTTCAAAGAATTTTGTTGGAACTACTGAACCAGATGGATGGTTTTGATCAGACTGTTAATGTCAAAGTATGAAAATTATCATAATACTCTGCTTTTTATTAATGTACAAATTTCCTAGTCTGATGAATAGAAATTTGTAATGAGTTTTTGTACATAATGTAAAAGGCAAGAGATGGATAACAGCTAACAACAATGATACTGACAGGTTATAATGGCCACTAACAGAGCCGACACATTGGACCCTGCTCTTCTTCGTCCCGGCCGACTTGACAGGAAGATCGAATTTCCTCTGCCAGATAGGAGGCAGAAACGATTGATATTTTCGACGATCACCGGCAAGATGAACCTCAGCGATGACGTCGACCTCGAAGACTACATATCAAGACCTGATAAGATCAGTGGTGCTGACATCAATGCTATCTGTCAGGAGGTCTGTTGGTTTGATGCTCCGTCTTTTTTTTCTTCAAATTTTCGTTCACACAAAGTGCAATTCTAGATATTTAGTTGAGGTTTATGAAATTTATGACTGTTTCGGTAACTACCGACCAACTTTGTTAATTAAACAAATACTAAAAAATACTTTAGAAAGATAGATGTTGCAATAGTTGGGAACATTATTTAGTGAACCTTTAACAATAATTTACAGGCTGGCATGCAAGCAGTACGAGAGAACCGCTACGTTGTCCTACCGAAAGACTTTGAGAAAGGGTACAAAAACAACACAAAGAAAGATGAACAGGAACACGAGTTTTATAAATAACTGTGCTTTTGTTTTAATATTTTTTAAGTTATGTATGAAATGTTAGTTAATTGGTTAATTAAAAATGTGTCATTCAAATATATGTAGTTATGTGCATTCTCATTAAGTTGGTTCTTGACTTTCTTACATGATTTTCCGTGATAATAAAGTTTCGTTGCTAATTTCTGACTTTCGTTTCGAAATTTCTATGTTGAAAGATCTAAATATTTTCGATTGTTTTTCATTTTGTTTTCATTTCAAATATCAAGCCTTCACACTTTAACGGAGAAGCTGGATGCAACTAGATCTCTATAAATAATGGTAGTTGTGGATGTTGTTCAGCGAAAAAACATCTCTAAAATTAATTTTTAACCAGTTCAATGATAGGAGCTATGTTTACATGAAAACAATACATGTGCATATGTGATCAGTTTAAGTATAATAATAAAACGAAGTATCATTGTCTATACATCACCATTATACAAACCATAGCCTGGCAAAAATATGAAAATATTCCACCATAGTTCAATTTCATAGTGGTATATAAAATAGAATTACGAGCAACTTCACACCGAAAACACCAAACAATGAATGCGGAGAAGACAGAAAAGATCCCTTCGTTTAGTACGTATTCATGTTCGATGCTAGAGTGTTGCTGATTCTTTTGAACCTGGGAAGAGAGTAATAGACCTTTAAACCTTTATTAACGCGTTATCACTGTTAGTGTAAGAAATATTGTGTAATATGCATCAATGGATTGTAACATGTTAGGTTAGGCGCGATGTTACAAATCATACGTTAAAACGGAAAATTGTGTGAAATGAATGAGAATACTTATTTATTAGCATTACATTCAAAATGAATAGAAATGAAGGTATGTCGGACAGACAGAATGCCAAAAAATAGTGAATAACATAATAATACTGGATAAACAGGAAAACTACTATAAAAAAAGGTAAAATGACACGATAAATGAAGGAAAAATGATGGTTTAACGACTACTTAAGCAGAAAAACAAGAGCATTACAAAAGGATTTTAAAACGAAAACAAAATCGTTTGAGAAATAAATTAATTTTAGCAGTTACACATTTTTAAATGGTTGTGCATTATATGGAAGGCACCAAAAGATAACATAACTCAATGGTTCCTCTAAATTATCTGTCATACAGGCAATAGCATCTTATTGGCTTGAGCAATAAATGAATCCAAAAAGGTGCTTACTTTCAATATTGCTTCAAAATTTAAAAAATTAAAAAAATGTTCATCAAAAAAATCAGTTCTGCAACTGATAATACAATCACCTCTTACAAATTTTGCATAGCCGTATCATAAAATGAAATGATCTTAATAATGGTTTAAATTTTTTTTCACACACACATCATGTTCTTCATAACACGCAAGACATTTAAAATATTTGAACACTAATAGTGAAATCTCATGAAAATTCAGCAGTTGAAAATAAATAATACATCAATAACATCAATTAACACCTGACTGTTGATTACACGGAATAACTACGTAAATATGACTAACAGCTGGAATAGATAGAATAAAACAAACTTTTATAACATTAAATATTAAAATAAAGAACATTAAGACTAATGAACTATAAAGATAATGTAAAAAAAAGTTATTGAGTGAATCTGACAGATCTTTTAAGCTGGATGAGAGCTAGAGTGAGAAAAATTATGGAAATGATGATTAGAAACATTTCATTCTTCCACTGATCAAAAGAGCTCAAGTATTGGATGCCTTGACTTTCCAGATATTCATTGCCTGATAGACTGTAGTCAATAAAAAAAATAATTTCGTCAATTTGCATTTGTGATAGTTACAGAAATTCAGCAAATATTAATTATGTCAAATATTGTGATATGTTCTGCAAACTAAAACACTGCCATTACAATTACTACTGTAACAAGTTTAATTTGTCAAAATCACTTCTCTTAGATTATTATGTTTAGCTATGTAATTAGTTGTATATGGTTTTCATGTAAAATGAAGATGGTTAATAAATTTTTAACATTTATTCATTAATTGATAATTGACCAATATGATGATAATTGACCAATTTGATAACTGACCATTCAATGTGCGTTTGATTACCCGACACACCATCGTCACAGAACGTCTGATTCTTCAAACTATTTATCAGAAACATCTGTGGCCACAAACAAACAAACACAAATCAAATAAACAAAAAAAAGATGATAGACACTTGAAAAAGTGAACAAAAACGATCCTGGACAAAATTGTTGAGTGGATAGGATGTAGAAAAACAGTTAATTTATTCGTCTACGTGCAATAACATTCTTCAACAACACCACCAATACTTCAAACTTCCTAATAAATTACCTTCCACAAGACATGATCAAATGATCCATTACCCATTTTGAAAAAAAAAATTCATAAAAAAGATATAACTTTCAAGATAATTTCAAGATTGTTAACATGAAAAAAGAAAAATAAACGAAAAAAGAAATAAAGACTAACATTGATACTGTATCTGAATATACTGCCCCAACAAACCCATCTGAGAAACCTGGGGACAGTTTCTATATTGACCAGGACTCCACTGTAGACCATCATGGTCACCCAGACGAGAGAGGTGAGTACAGTTCCAATGGCATGCTGTCTGGTCGACGCACTGAAGAACAATGCCACTGAGGCTCCAGCCACGTTCGTTAGGAAGATGTTGAAAGCATAGATTAGCAGGTTGTACAGAGTGAATGGAAAACCTGCAAGTGGGGTTTACAGTACTATTGAAAACTCTAGAAAAAAAAACACAAAGAACATCAAAAAACTGAATACGATACACACAATTATGCAAAAAATTGCAAAAAAAAGAAAAACTAAATAAATGCAAGCAAATACAAAGCAACAATTAACAACCAACAAAAACCGCACTTACAAACAAAACAATACGAAAGAAACACCAACACAAAAAAACAGAATCATACAAACAAACAAACAAGCAAACAAACAAACAAACCTATCATAAAGAAAGTAATGATGGAGAAGAAAATGATTGGCATGGTACGCAATGGCAGAACTTCGAATAGAATCTTGCATATGAAGTATACAACGATGCCATAGTAACCACTTATTGTTTCATGGCTGTTGTGTTTGTGAGTGTGTTTGTGTGTGTGTGTGAGTGAGTGTAACGATTTATTTATTCATTAACTTATAATTGACTTATTCACTTAATTTTTTTTATTCATCATTCTTGAAACTGATAAATATATATGTATTTTATTTTTTTAAATTAATAAACAATTCTATTACTAATTATTACTGTTAAAGAAAGCCAAATAAACATGTGATCTACCATTTGTTTATTCAATAATGGCATATGACGACAGAAAATAATTAATATTATCTATAATTACAATCAGTAATTATATTGAATATAATAAAATATGAAACGTAGAGTTACATGTATATAGCTCGCTCCCTTATGAAAACATCAACAGAGGACATGTTGGCAAACACGTGATTCATTACTATGAAGAAGAAGGCTCCGACTCTGAATTTTTGGAGAATAATTTTTTTAAATCATTTAATTTATATAATAATATTATTACAATATAATTATCTTATACAATTATTTTATGTTATATAAATATTTTAATGAGATTATTTTGTGCTATTAATAGTAATTGTTATGTACATTCTTCAAATTATTAATTTAACTGATTTCTAAAATTAATTGGATAAACAATTTAAACAAAAATTTTTTAAAAGAGGCACAGAAAATGAACTTATAAATTATGACAAAATAAAAAAGTTTTTAAAATTCCACTTTCATTGATGTCAATAACGTGAATAAAACGAAAATTACTAAATAATCTCAAAATAAATTAACTTATGCGAAAAAATATTGAAAAAATTTGAAAAATAAACAGAAACATATAAATTTCAATCAATCAATCAATCAATCAATCAATCAATCAATCAATCAAATCAACCTGTTTTGTATTTTAGTTCGTGCACTGTGGGCTGATCTGTCAATCTGGAAATAGATTGAGCCAACAATGAGTGAAAGGATGAGTGCAGAGAATGCCTGGAAAATAAGTTAATGAAAATAAATTAATTAAGAAACGATTTGTTGTAGAATAGGATTTGAAGAAATTCGGTAAACTGTCTAAAATTGAATTTTAAATTTAAGAATTATAGTTAATTCTTTTACTTAGCACTTCAATTTATCAATTAAATTTTTCTCAAATCACAAAAGAGAAATAATTTAAAGCATGAATACAAATCAGTAAAAGATGAAAAACCGGCGTTGATATGGCTCTGGTATTCCTGACAGTACATTTGAAAGTTCTACATGAAACTGCAGCCAACTATTTTGAAAAATTAATTTTTTGAACTTTTTAAACGTTAATTGTAATAATACTTTCAAAATGTTTTCAAAAAATTATGTTTCCATAAAACTTCCCACTAATTTAAAAACACCAAAACAGACATTTCATACAAAAAAGGAAACAAACTGGAAAAAGCAGTACACACCTGCTTAAGAAATGATGGCTGTGGGATGTTGATCCTACTGGCTCTCATAGGCTTTGTCTCCGAAAAACTGGCTTCTATGAATTTTATTTCTTTATCTAACCTGAAAAAGATTAATATTGAGAATAAATCTATAGGAAATTTAACATTTTAATAGAAATATCAAAATTAAATTAATGTAGGCTACTAATTCGAATATAAACGGAAAATAAAATACGCTAAGAAATTAAAACAAGATATAAAACAAAGTATAATGAACATGAGTTGCAATGAAATAGACAAACAAACACAGAACACTCCTTACATTTCACCCCAGACAGATTTCTGGTAAGCAATCACAAGATTGTTATGATGGTATTCTGATGATGATTTACTGACATCTTTTCAAATGAAATAATCAATTCTTTCAATTTGTGTAATACTAATAATTTTTTAAAACTTCATGGAAGCACAAAATTATAAAAAAGAAAAGCTTTTAAAAAGCTATTGTTAAATATAGTTTATCTTGTTTTTAACAAAATAGGGTATATTTGACAATTTTTAACAAGATAATGAAAGCAACTAAATTAGTAACAACAAAAACTTCATGAGCAAACAACACAACCAACATATAACAACAACACATCAACGTAACCAACATGAAAAAAACAACAATGCAGCACGCAATCAACAAAAACATACCTTCATCCTGATCGTCAGCAGCCTGCAACTGTTTAACATCACTGCTAGCAACCTGAAGTTTTTTGTTGACATATTTGTTGCCATCCAGCAGCTGTTTTCCATCTGCAACATTGTTGTCAACACTGATGTTAAAACCAACATTGTTGATGATGTTGTTGTTGTTGTAAGTGCCCGAGAGAACGTCTAATATGAAATCCGATGGGTTGTCGTGCTCTTCACAGATGTAGCCTGTTTGAGGTGTATGTTTGTATACGTTCATGCTTGTTGGTCATGTTTATCTGAATCTATTTTTGTGTTTGTGTTCATGATTGTATATGTTCATGTTTATGTTATTATCTGTAGATAATGTTTGTGTTCATACACTAATGATTTATTTTTACATTTTCAATTTTCAATTGTAACAGATTATTTCTGAAATTGTTCATCTCAAGCTACTCCATTATTTTTTATGCAAATAAGCAACTTTTGCATAAAATTCTTTTGGAGTATGTCATTAATTAACAATAAGAACAAAAAGATTATTGAAAACCACAATAAAAAGGACAACAATAATAATAATAAAATTAATAATAACCTGAAGAAGCAAGAAAATCAAGAGTTTTATTAGCAGGCCCATGAAAAATTGTCTGTCCTTTAGAAAGTACAAAGAGCTGGTCAAATATCTTGAATATTGAATAGCGTGGTTGATGGATGGACATTATGACTGTCATACCTTTCAGTGCTAAACTGTACATAATTAATCACATAGATAATATTAAAGATTTAATTATAAAATTATGAATATATGTCCATGTATAATTAATATTATATACATAAAAAAGAGTTTGTGTATATGCAAATGTAGGAACAATATAAACATAAATGTAATTCATACAATTAAAAGTACAGTGAAGGTAAGCAGTACAAAGAGAGAACACAAACCATTAAAAGGACTGTAGAAATATTATGATATAGTACCATAGTAGTACATTAAAATACTGAGAAATAAAACGCTGAAGTAGTACCATTATAAGCACAAATGCATGTAAAAAAAATCTCTGGATGAATGAAATTAGTGTAAAGAGATATTTGGTTAAGCTAATGTTGAAAATTTCAAAAGAAAAAGAAAATCAAAGAAAAATAATTTGACTGATTTGGTACAAAATTTTGTTGAAATAGTAAACAGTACAGCAGACAGATGGCCCTCAAAATAAATTTAACATCAGTGGCCAGCCAGTAACAATCACAGCAAGACAAGCAGGTGTACTTGGAAATATCAAACTGTACATTCCAGAGAGATAGAGAAAGGAAAAAAGGAGAGAGTGTGAAAAAGAAAGAGAAAAAAGAATGTGTGTAACCTCTTAAGAGTCAGCATGACAGAATGAGCAGTGCTTGCGTCCAAGCCAGATGTTGGTTCATCAAGGAAGAGGATGCGTGACGATGTGATGATCTCCATGGCAATGCTTGTCCTCTTCCTCTCTCCTCCTGATATGCCTCTCGTGAAGCTGTTGCCTATCTTTTGTCAGTTCGTAGGTAGGGAGGTGGTGGTGGTGTTGTTTGTAAGTTTTTTTGGGGTAATTTTTGTAACAAAATATTAATTATCAAACAGGAGTGTATAAAACTATAAAAATAAACAATTAATCTGGATACCTTAGTGTTAGCACATTTGGTCAAACCCAGTTCTTGTAATGTTTCATCGACTAGATTATCTTTTTGTTTCAAAGTCATAGGTTCATGTATTCGTAGGTTGGCTGAGAACATAACATTTTCCTTGACTGTCAGCATACTCATCACCATGTCATCCTGCATTAATTCATAAGCTAATGAATGAACAAAATTATGAATTGTAAAGTAAAAAAAGTAAGCATGCAATTCTGCCAATATCCAACAAAATTAACTCTGTGAATAAAAAAAACCAAATAGACCTGTATGACATAACCAGCAATGTGTTTGAAATTTGATGGGATATTCTGTCCATTTATCAAAACTTTTCCCTTCACACCTTGACCTGAACATTGACCGGCAAGCAAATTCAACAACCTGATACAGATGCATTTGCATTATTAGGAAATGGAATTGTAAACATTTTTTTACATGAATACATGTAAATATATAAAAGTATATGCAAATGTTTTCAAACTTTTAAGTTTAATGAACAGAAATTAAAAAGTAATACAATATTGACATGTAAAGTAATTGAGATTAATTAATATTTTGAAAAACTTGATCACTAGTCAAACATTGATTGACATGTGAAGTAATTGAGATTAATTGATATTTTGAAAAACTTGATCATTGAACATTGATTGTTCAATAGTTGTCTCAAGCCATGCAATCAATTCATGAACCACGTAAAATCAGATGAGAAAAAAGTTTCAACTAACGTAGTCTTTCCACATCCAGTAGGACCAAGTATTGCATTGATGCCTGGCCTGAATATACCACTGGAGAGTTAAATTTCATATGTATATTAAATATAATAAAATCATTGGATCAACTGACAAGTATATAATTACTACTACACTACATAATTATTGTCATATGACATCAAAGTTGCAATCTATTAATTCAAAACATTGGATATAGAGGAAAAATTTAATTATTTATAGACTATGTAAAAGAAATGTAATTATTTAGATAAATTACTTGAGATTATTGAGTACACAAATTTTGTTTGATCTCCTTCTACTGCAGCAGTGACATCTTCTAGAAGAGTCCACCTCATAAGAAAGACCATGAAAGGACATCACTGCATCTGTCTTCCTATCCCCACCAAGCAGGCCTTCATATGAAGATTGCCCATTTTTGTTGTTGGTGGAGTTGTTGTTCTGTGCTGATGAATCAACAACATTTACATCCTCATCGTCCTTTAATAAAAGTGGTGGGGATGCATTTTCTTCCATCTCCAAAGAAACAAAATCAGACTCGGGTGCAGTTGGCATTTGTAGACCATTCAAATGGTTGTTAACGTTTTCTTCTTTGGTCATTTTTTTTTTAAATTTTATAATTTAATTACCAGTTTAGTACAATTTTAGCCAATTTTTTATATGATGAGTGATGACTGCAAGTTTTTTTTATTAATTTTAATTTAATTGCCGTTATTATTTAACTAATATTATATTATAATATATTTATTATTCATTATTCAATTATTGTTTCAACTTTAACTTCAAAAATAATTTAGTTAGATCTTTAAACAAAAAATGCTCAATTTGGCAATTTCCATTTCTAGTGGAAAAAATTTTAAATTACAAAAAACTACAAATTGAAGTAAAGCAGTGGGTGAATAAAAATTACAAATAAATCATTTCGATTAACATTAAAAACCAACATTACACTTATTTATCGCGAGACAAAGAAAATAAACGCAAAAACAAACTACGCGCGACGACAAACAGCAGAAAGTCAAGAATTTCAGCCTTTATACTTTATTCACAATTTATAACAAAAAAGTATGATGTTTTCGTTATATATATATGTAAATATATAAACACTCAAATACATAAACATATTTATTTATGAATTTATAAATATGTATATATATATCTAGTGATAAGTGTGGTCAATTGTACTTATGTAATTATATGAAAAATATATATAAACATTGTTTCCCAGTATGACATTTATATGTTCACATGTCGAAGATATTCATATACAATGATCATCCAAAGATGATATTGCATGCAACCTGTATATAAATGATGCGTGCTATACGTTTATAAATACATATATTTATATATATATATATATATATATATATGTTTACAATTTAACTACATATATGTATATAGTATCAACAAACCAACTTACCAGCACCCTGTGTTAATGCAAATAATAACTATACTTTTATCAATAAAAACGTTAAAAATGTAAATTATCAAAAAAATCTGTTGCCATTTTAGATGTTAGAATTGAACCTAAGGTAACCACAAAACATAAGTTTGTACCATAACAGCAAACGTTTAAGATGAACTGAACGTTTCAGTCAATTTGTGTAGTTCAATTCCTTCATATGATTTAGAGAAAACGTACTTCTCTGTTTAAACACCAATTTTCCAACTATTTCAAGTAGCGCTGATAAAGGTGATGCTGTTCTTATATTTTAAACATTTTCTTTGTATATATCCCAAACACTAAATGATAAATCTTAAGTATGCTGCAATCAAGATGACTACCTACCATTTCCATGTTTAAAATAAAATAATTGTGTATCAATGTCTATTGTTTGGGTTTTCGTTATGGTTACAGAATTAAATTATCGCTCAATGAAAGTTTTTAGTCTAATATGTGCCCTGATCCGAATTAATGAATGCTTTAATATTTTGTTGAAGTTTTTAATAATTGCTCTTATGGTGGAAAATGTTAAACTGCACAAAAAAAGTGAAATTGATGAACACAAGCCCTGCACTTTCTTCAGTATGATTTTTTAGAATTCTGAAAAAAATTAATATTAATATCTTTCTTATTTTTTGTTAATGTTACGTTACCGATTCGGAATTTCAATTTAATATTCGAGTTCTGATTTCAAATGTTTTTTATGATTTGTAACAACAAATGTACTGTGAAATATTTTTTCCCATGAATATGATTATGATAATTAGGTGAAAGAAGGTACTCCTCACCTGAACACAACCTGGTTAATTGTTCCTGGTACTCCGGGAATGCATGTTGCAAACGAACGGAAGTGACGTCAGTTTTTGATGGAATGTATCCCTTGTCCGGAGCCTCCATCGAATGCACTGACAGGATAAATTATCTCATGTGCTACTTCTGCAGTCCTAAACAGTATCTTTGGTACAACAAGTTAGTGACTTTGTCTTTATTTTTGATGAATCATTTTTCTATTTAGGTTGCAGGTAGATAGGATTCTACACCATTTGCTTAACTTTAATAACGCAAATTTAACTTTAATATTAGCTGTAATATTAATTATGAGATTAACAAATTAATTATAAAAAAAATAAGTGTAATTATTTACAATAGGATAGCAAATGTGTGCTCTTCATTTTGTGCTTCAATATATGACCACTGTTCAGCATCAATATACAATGGATTCTCACTTGGTAAATTTCAAAAGTTTGAAATTTCTATTAACCATAATTCAAAATTCACATTTGTCACTTTTTTCAAATGTTTTTTATCACAATTACTGTGAAAGTTTTATATAATTTAAAAACATTTTAAACAGGAATGATGTATGCAAATGGCACAGAATTTTGTAAAGGACAGCACTTCTACGTGGTCCATGATGACAAAAATTGTTTTAATTTTGATGAAAATGTGTTCAGTAGTTCCTTGTACAACAATTATTTATTATCTTTGCATGTATCATGTTTGTTCTTGTTTTTTGTACTTTCTTTTCATTTTAATTTTAATCTTTAAATAATGTCCATACTTTGATTTTATACAATATAAAATATTTATTCAAAAGACAGTTCAGCAATATTCATTTAAGATGTTCTTTTTTATTCTCAAAATTTTTGAATAAAAACTGTTTAGCTTCATTGATTAGTGTAGAAACGTTTAGAGCAACCCCACCTTTCACTGGTATGCTTAATAATGTGAAGTTTGTGTGCTTTGCTAACTTTCCTTTTGGTGGTGAACACTGTCCAGCATACTGCTCACAAATGTATGTCGCCCAGGTTCTTGAATCAAACTGGCTGAAATTCTAAAATTTTAAAAATTAAACATCTAATGAGATTTTTATTTTATCAGTCAATATTGACTAGATGGATTACATCTAAAAGTTAAGTTGAATTCATTTAAGATGGATCGAAATTGAAAATACTTTTGAGAGCCATATTAAATCTGGCAAACCTGTGGTACATATATTACTGCAACATAGTTAGGTCTGGGTGTATCTGATAGAATCATTACAGGCTTGTCGTGTTTGATATCCACCAAGCACTCAACTATCTACATGTGTTGGTGGTCGCAAAGAAAAAATCTTGAAAGAACGCAAACGAAGTAAGCTATTTACAAGTTATCATTCAACAAATACATTGCCTGCAGTGAACTCGATAATACTTAAAGATGCACAAACACAAACGCACTGGAAAATTTCATACATATGAAATGTGCAAGTGTATGAAAAGAGTACATTTAAATGTGTAAATGATTGACTAAAAATTGAACTATTACTCACCTCTCTGGTTCTGGAAATAGGATATGTACAGATTACACATTCATTCTTACTTTTGCTTATTCGTTCTAACAAGCCCTGCAAAAATTGTACCATAAGAACTAGAAATGATTAATTAGATGCAAAAATTAAACTCTTCAAAACGAATGTAATCGAATCAGCTTAACTGCACCTAAGCTTTTCGTATTGCATAACTATAAGGAAAAACTACTAAGACAATGACCTGTTTGATGTGGAATGTTGAGAGTTTGTTCTTATGCTGGCTCAACTCAAAATTCAAATTCTTCAAATCTTCCAGAATATTCTCTCTCTCTATTTTTGGAAGTAACAAACCAGCGGATAAACTCTGTTAAGTAGTGTTCAAAAACTTCAACAAATGTTGTATAACATATAACGACATATTAAAAAAAATTAACATTGGCATCGCCAAAATGCGTCGTACCTTGAACGAATGTGTGCACAACATAACTTGCTCTAACCCTATCTAAATCTTTCAGAATCATCAATTTTTTAGATATGTCTTCAGAGCTGGAGATAAGAAGCAACTTGTTTCTCGCGTCGTCAACGTTCTGTAAGGCCTGTTTGAATGTATTATTACAAAGACAACTATTATCTAACGAGTAAATTAATTAATATTCATTTGGGCGACTTAAAATTTACTTCAATAGATCACAAAATAACTTTGGTAATTATGAAAACAATCCCTCTTCTACAAAACGTTAAAAACATTGCACACAAGCAAACAAACGAGCGTAATAAATAAGGTCATGAGAAATCTAACTTTGTTTGCAGCATCTCTTGTCACGGCAGTAATTCTTTTGCTACCTTGAATGGAACCTTCGTAATTTGTGATCACTATGTTGCCAATGTCACCAGTTCTTCCCACGTGACTTCGTGACGAAATGACAACAATCACTATCATTACTTCAGGATAGATATCATATCATTATCTAAGTTACCATCCTCATCATCAATGACAGATTCAATAAATCATAATAAAGTAGAAAAAAAAATAAAAAGTAAAAGACAAAGCACCAAAAAATACTTAGTAAAAAACGCAGCCGCACTAACGTGCCAGCGCACAACTCAATGGAGCAAGGTGGGAGCTGATAGAGGGACGATGATGACAGGTGCAGTATCTTATCCAGTGGGGATCCTATCGAAACCACGTTGACCATCTTTGGATAGGACTGTGTGATGATGAGGACGATGATGACGTCACAATGATTGTGTTGATACTAACAATGTCTAACGCAATAACAACATCTTCAAATTCGCAACACTACCAGGTAACACTGCCAAAAACTCACATCATCATCCAGTTTTATAACAAATGGCAGATTCTGAACCATATCAAGAGGAACCACCTGCCTGTATATTTTCATATCTTTCTTCACAATTTCATTAGCTGTCCTACTGACTTCTCTCAGATCATCTAGTGTTATAGTTGCCTAGGAAAGTCATATAATTCATTCAATGAACAGTTTTTAATGAAAATTGAAGCAATTTTTTCTACTTATTTACTTTTATCTATTACTTTTTTCAAGTTTATCTACTTGATAATGTAATTGATACAATTAGTAGCTGCTAACTTTAACAGAAGAAAAATCAAAAGTGAGGAACTGGTCTTTAACCATGGAGCCCTGCTGTTTGATTGGACCTCCGAGAACTTGCCGAAGTGCAAAGTTGAGAATGTGTGTGCTTGTGTGGTTGCTGCTGCTGTTTGTTCTGTTCTCCTTTCATCAATCAATCAATCAATGAGTCAGTCAAACAATCAATCAGTTAAGTAATTAACCAATCAGTCAACCAGTCAGTGAAGTAGTTAATCAAAAGTAACCCATCTCCACGAGCATGTTATCATTTTGACATGAATTGTAAAAGAACAAACTAATGAGAAGAAACAACTCAATAAAAAATAAAATTAATGAAACATAATGTTGACACTTCTGCTTCTCTTCTTATCAGATGAGCTCCAATGGAACTCCAATTAACTTTTGTTAATTTAATTAACTATTGTTTAAGGGAAATGATTTAATTAATATTTTATATTTTTCAATCCCATTTTTTCATATACCTTGCGGCATGTGAATAAACAAAATCTATTTAAACAAAATTTATAACTAACTAAACTTAACGATAACAACTGCTATCGACAGTTAACAGTTTTTTTTTTAGAAAACTTTTTTAAAAAACAGGCGAACCTTAGAACAGCAGACGTCGACGTGATCACCAACTCTGATAGTCCCACTGACACCCTCGAAGCAATGCAGGATGTATCCGGCGCAATTCATCACATCCACTACCTCATTTACTTTTTCATTCTTTTGAAAAGTCAGTATGGACGAAAAAATTGTTCAGAACATTATGTAATTACGATGAAAATATATATTATAAAGTTGACAAAATGTAACGTGACTGTTCATATACAAATCAAAAACAAAAGTTGTGCATTATAACAAAAATTATATCAGAAAAACCTACAGAATTAAAAAAAAAATAAGTGAATGAATAAATAAAAAAAAATAAATAAAAAACTGACAATGACAATATGGCCAAGGTCAGCTTGTTGACCACCAGAAGTAGCATACAGACACGTTCTATCCAATACAATGCCACAACTTTTATTACCTACAATTTTTAAATTATTCAAAATTTAATTAAATTTAATTCATTTAAATATCAAATACTTTTATAATAAATTCATCAAATTGACTATATTAATTATTTAGCAAAAATTTACTACATAATTAAATAAATTAAGCAAATTTCCACAAGTTATTTTACCTTCAGTAACTTCGTCAACAAAAACTCCATTTAATTTTATGGCCACAACTTTTGAAGCCAGTGCTGGGTATTCTTAAGAAATTAAAATTTCTTTATATAAAAATCAGTAATTCAGTAATCAATAAAAATCGGTAATTTAGCCACAAGATTTATTTTACTAGATTTATAAATAAAAAGCTAAATAAAATAGAGCCTTTAATTAAACTTTTTAACTATTACTACCATTAAGGGCTGTTTATATAACGTTAAATAAACATTCTCAAGACGATCTCAGAATTAAAATGAAAAAGTTAACAATAATTGAACCATAGTCGCGTTGCTGGTCAACAGTGTATACATATTTGTGAGAATCGTCAGTGCTGGCGATGTTCATTTCCTTCAATCTCATCACATCTTGCTGAGTTAGAGAGATGGGTCGTTGAAAAGGTGCAGGCTGTAGTGGTGAAACGGCAAGAGGTTTGGCCTGGTCAAGAATTATATTTACAGTGAAAAATAACATGTGTGTATGGTAGACGAAATTAAACAAATAAAATAGTAAGATTTTTTAAAAATTTGCTTAGGAAACTAGTGAAAATAAATGCTTGTTATTCTGGAGCTATGTAACTATATAGACCTATATATCACCAGTGATTGGTGTTAATTTGTATACCTTGTTGATATTTGACAAGCATCTTTCGTAATCATCATGATCTAATGAAACGTTGAATTCATGAGCCAGCAGTGATATGATGTCATATGATACAGCACTTCCAAAGTATCCTTCTTGCATTTTTAACATCAGCTCACCTGTTCAGTTGTTTCAATTATATCGTTATATCAATTGTATCATTCAAAATGATACACAGTCGTGATTATTAGAACAACGGAGAATGATACGCTAAGATGGTGTACACACGAAAAAAAAACATCAATTAACATTTAAATCTTTAGATTGGTGACTTTTGAATCTTTAAAGAATTAAATTTTTAAAATTGCTACTCCATTTAAAAACATGAAAATGCTAGCTTTGCATAGCTACATTGGTTTTTGGCATCAGGAGAATGAAAACCTAAAATTACACATACTAATAAATATAATTAGCCAAAAAAATTGCAATTGATATTATAAGAAAATATAAAACCCTACCAGACAGTTTATGGTTTTCAGAACAGGACTGACTGTTCAACGCCTTCTTCATAATTTTCCTGCCTGTTGTGATGTTGCACAAGTACCGGTGTTCCGTCTCTCTGATAACCTCTTCAATCTAAATGTACATTTCATCCAATCATGTCGAAACTATCGTTAAGTTTCAAGTAGCATCACCAGATATTTGAAATTTGAAAGTCATCCATCACAAATTTTTCCTATCATATTTGCAACTTAACTATTAATTGCAAAATACACGTGCAAAATGTATTAATAATGGCTAGTAGAATGAAGAAAATGTACTAAAGTAACCTGTTTGGTGTTCTCTTCTAGATAAGGATAGGAAACTTTCTTTAAAAAAATTAGAATAATAAAGATAGTTGAAATGGGAGCAACATAAATGAATCAATTACAAAGTAAAAGAACATATCAATAAGCATTTCAATATATAATTATGGTACTATAAAATAATTTGACAAACAAAATTACATTTAATGTTTCTAAATAATATATGAAAAGGAAAATCTTAAAAATATTTTATATAGACAACCAAGATGAACTCTAAATGAAAGAGACAGAAGGCAAAGTGAAGAGCAACCTGACCAGTGATTGGACAACAATGGCAACCAATGAATGAATGGTGTGTTGGGGCATTTTGAGAACTTCCTGGGCTTGATACAAGCATCTGTATATCACTTGCCTCAACTTTCCTCTGTTCAACATGTTAATTTGCAATATTTTTTAATAATTTTGCTATTTTTGTCAAGAAAATATTATTTAAAACTGTTTATAATTTTTCATGCAATGAAAATGATGATTAAAAACTATAGACATGCTTATTTCTGTTGTTAGCAAAAGACACACCCATGCTTTAAACATTCAAACAGTTTCAATGGCAACATTGATTCACAAACAACAGCAAGAAAATACTGCATAAGTAGATTACAAGGTTTAGTAAAAATTTTGTTAACCAGACAGTGTTTCAATGTTTCAACTGTTGTACTCTATTAAAAGGGTAAACATTATCATGAACAAGAAAAAAATTTCAAGTGAATGAAAACTAACTCGGAATCTTTCCTGCCTGGCATCAAACCATCAGCTATGCAGATGGTTGCCATACGCACATGATCGGCCACAACTCTGTAGGCAACATCCGTCTTACTTACTAAACTTCCACCATATTTGTCAACGTTGGCAAGTGACGAAATGTGGTTGAATATTCCTCTGAAGAGATCGGTGTCATAGTTTGAAGACTTCGATTGCAAAAGAGCTGTCAACCTCTCCAAGCCCATGCCTGTGTCAATATGAGTTGCTGGGAGGTTCATCAAAGAACCATCTGGTTGCCTGTTTGTTGTACATCATGTAAAATTATCATCTCCCATATTTTGCATAATGTCACTTAAGATCCATGAATCATTCAACAATTTTTAAAAGCAACAATTAAAAATTTTCAGTGGGTTGAGAAAACTTTTAAAAAACTTGAAAGCAAGAAAGATCACCTATCATACTGCATAAATACCAAATTCCATATTTCTTTCATATCTTCAACACCTCTGTTCACAAAATCCCTCGCCTTGTCGGCACTTCCACCCCCATGATAGTAATGTATCTCAGAGCAGGGACCGCACGGGCCTACCTCACCCATCACCCAAAAATTATCTTTCATGCCAAATGGCAAAATTCTTTCTTTTGGTACTCTTAAAAATAGCAAAATTTAGTTGTTGTAATCATTAATTATGAGAATAGTGTTACAAAATCATTCATTTAAAAATAATCATTTAAAAGTTAGTTTGAAAGTAAATGAGACTGAACCCAAGTTGAATCCAGATGTCTTTACACTCCTCATCAGCCTTCAGCCCCAGCTTCTCCGAACCAACAAAGTATGTTATGTAGAGTCGAGAGGCAGGAATCTCATAAACATTGGTTAATAAATCCCAGGCCATTCTACAAGCCTCTGCCTTATATTGAATAATATATATTAAATTATCATATCTTAAAATGAAAACATTCTTATCAATACTATTTTATCAAATATTCAATCAAACATGAAATAACATAAGCATAAAAATTATTTTGAAATTAAAAACAATGAATTGATTATTAAAAATATTGCAAAGACCAACTTTTGAATAGTCATTAAAGGACCAGTTGCCTAGCATTTCAAAGAAAGTATGATGATAATAATCATGACCTACATCTTCAAGGTCATTATGTTTACCTCCAACCCTGATGCACTTTTGGTAATTCACAACACGCTTGTAACTGGCCATTTCACTCGACTGATCAACTGTGCCGAGAAAAATTGGCTTGAACTGACAGAGTAAAGTTTTAACAACATTGTTTAATCTGTAAAATATTGAAACAACACTGACAATTTATTCACTCAGGACTTAGAAATAGGTGGAACTAAAAGAAAATTTTAGATAAAAGTAAGAGAATTTTTATTTGCTAGTTAATTTTTAATTTTAGTAACATCATTCATTTTTTAATATTACATTTAGTTATTTTTTACATTTTAAAAAGAGCTAAAGATTAAATTAGGATTTAAAAATTAATAATTATGATTAGCTAGCAGTAGTTACAATTACTTTGGTAATGTAACGTTGCAATTCTACAATTACATTCTATAATTACACTATTACTTACAATTTAAGTATTTATAATTTATTTATTTACTTTTTATCAACTTTTTTTAAATATTTACTCTCATGTTTCATGTTTCATGTAAATGTAAATTTTTAATTTTTTTTTTAATCAAGTATTTATTTTATATTTTATTTGAAAAATGAGCTGTATGTGAAACCTGATTCATTCCTGAATTAACAAAATATGATCCGTCATTTTTCTTCGGAATGACGGAAGATGAGGGAACGAAGAGGTGGTCAGAGCTTTTGAAATATTCCACAAACATCTGCCGGATTCTGTTTGAGGTCCAATGCACCGATTGACAGCTGGAAACATTCTTCTTGACGTGCGTAAAATTCTACGATTATGTTTATGTTAGTAAATTAAATGTCTGGAATAAAAATAGAAATAAAATAAATATAAAATAGACAAACTTTTTGCAACACTTCTTTAAATAAGTTTACTTTAAGCATTTTTTAAAAATGCATTATCCGAGAACATTATTTAAAAGTTAATTCAATAAAAAGAATAAATAAATTGAAGAATTTTTGCATATTTAAATGATTATTGTAAAAATTAATTATAAATAAACGATTTGACACATTTTGTATTGTATGTTTGTATAAATCTGTAAAACAAACTTTTCAATTCTATAACTATTTCTCATGTAATGAAAATAATTTATTTAAAATATATTTTATATTTGTTAGCAGAATTAATATATATATAATAATGAATTGGAATAAATATTCTGCGCAACATTGAGCTACGCTATAATAAAAAAAAACTTATGGAAAAAATTGACTTACAAGACGAATAAAAACTTAGGTTCCGCCGAGATTTGAACTCGGATTACTGGATTCAGAGTCCAGAGTGCTAACCGTTACACCACGGAACCGTCTTGATAACGATTGTTTCTTTTGCTTCATAAAGCTGACTTCTTTTTTCAATGAAGTTTATTTGATTTCTATTCACTTTGAAATATATAAATGTGAATACAACTGACCCCACCGTGTAGAATTCTTTAAATTTTATTTCACTTTGTTAGTTGTCACACGAAAACACTCCGCACACCATAAAAAATGACAAAAAACTATATGGAGAAATAACATTTAACTCACAACATTAATTATCCATGGTTTACTAATTACTTGCACATATTATTTCGAAAAGAATTAAATAAATTTAAACACATTTTCATTTCGGATTATGATTATAGCCGAGAATAAATATTAACAATAACAAAAGTAATATCAAATAATCGAATTTGGTTGAAATTGAAAAATGTTTCAATTTGAACAAACAGTAACAAATAGTAACACATATAGGTACTATGGGCTTTGTAATACAAAGTTTGTATCTTAAATTTAAACAGGCACGCGAAACAACCATAATTATAGTCTATCTATATATAGATAGTAACGGCAACAAATTGATCAGAAAAAGTCCACACGGACATATTTCAATTTCTTTACAAAGGAGTACAATTAACTTAGACATAAACCAAAAAAGTACATTCTCAAATAAGTGCATGCGATGAACGAATTAACATGGAAAATCAACGCTCATCGACTGGATCGGCTTCAAATGCTTATAAAAAAAGAAAGTTGCTATCAAATATAACAGACAGGTATGTTGTGATTACATAAAATCATTATAAGTGAGTTATATAATAAATAAAAAAATTAATTAATATATAAATATATAAAATAATAACGTGTGCATGTATGCGTGTATATAAAAATTCTGTATGCGTGGTTAAAGAGATGTGGGCATGTCCTTTAGTATAGGCCCTTTGACACTGCTATCTGCTGTGCTAACGACTGCTGTGCTAACGAAAATCTAATTGGAAATTACATGGAAAAATAAGTGAAAGTAGGAACATGACTTAAAAGATCTTGCGGAACAATTAGCAAAAAGGTCACAGAAAATTTATAAATCATTTATAATGAAACATTTAATTGGAAATTTATAAATTATCCTAAAAATAAAATTCAAGCCACAATTAAAATGTTATTATTGACTGAACTGACATGAACTGAACACGACCCAACTAACAAAATAAAACAGCATTCTACTAAATGAAAAATCATAAATGCTAACCGAGTGACAAACCGTAATGTTTAACGCTGATGTCATCCCAAGGTATTCTTCCCATTATAAACAATACACTAAAAGCAATAGTAGCAGTAGCAAGCATTGACATCCCACATCCATTATACCTAATCGATGCAAGAAACCACAAGATGGTAACACGAACAACTATTAAAATCCAATACAATGATAAAGCGCATCCAATTCAACGCCCGGGTCAAGTTAGTATAGTTCGATATTTGATGTGTAATTCAACGGAATAAATATATATACACTTTTTTTTTACTTTATATCTATTACCGTTATCGTTACACACCAAGGAATATACAAATAACAAAACCGACACAAATAACATAAAATATCTTAATTCAATCATATTTATGCTGTCAGACGTAATAAATGATTGATATATAAGATTTATATGATATAGATATATATGATATATATATATATATATTTATTTATTTATATATATATATATATATATATATGTGTGTGTGTGTTGTGTGTGTGTGTGTACAGTACAATGCCTTCCGTAAACATACAGATAACTGAAAATCAATTGAACGTTGCAAAGTAACAAAACATTTCAATATCTCTAATGTCACCAAGTTATATTTATTGTCAGTTATTGTAATAATAAAAAATTAATCAAAATAATAAAGACAGCATAAATGGATGTGAATTGTATTCATTTTGCACTTCTGCACTTCTATAAGAAAAATATAATAAAAATATTGACAGAAGTATTGACACATCAAGTATGAATGAAAACCTATATCATTCGAGACTAAAATAAACGATATTAATTCTTTAAGAGAGTTTATATATGTATAACAACGCTTAGTAACAAAATTCATATCACATACCCGGTACATTAATAAATACGAGTACACAGTACACGCTGCTGTTACGAAAAAAACAACAAACTCAATAAATATAAGCAATTTAATGAAAAATATAGGCTGTTCAGTGGTGTCGAGTGTACGTAATGTAGAGTTGTACGTAATATTAAGCACGTAAAGAAGTGTACCCCTACATAATAATGCATACAGCCCAAACTTTATAATGAAAAATAAAAATGAGAATAAGGACACGATGAGCAAATTCTTAAATTAAAATTTGAAGAAAATATCGAAAAAAAGATAAACAGTGATTTGAATGATCATAAACAATATCTTGAACAACAAACACGTTTGAACCTAATTGACGACAATGAATCGAATTGATAAATGTAATGCGATTGACGCTTTAGAGAATAAATAAGATATTTAACAAAAATCAAATCTCGAAAAATGAAGTTGCAATGAAATTAACGAGAAATTGAAAATCCTAAGATATGGAGCATTGACTGTCAACATGTCCCCGGACATCACCATCGAGCAACATGTTCATAACTGCTCTTACTATGTAAACCGTTGTACCGTGGGCCGAATTTGGGGGCGTATCAAAGAAGAGGGCTAGGTCTTCCGATGTTAAGTCTTTTGAGTCACGTACATTTTGATCTCGGTGGTCTCTTGTGAACATGAAGAGTGCGTCTTTGAAAATCTGATCGGTGGGTGGTTGGTGAGTTTTTTTACATTACATTTTTGAGATATCTAATTTATATGAAGAATATGAAAATATCGTAAGTAACAGTTTGAAAAGAAATATACAATACAGAAGAAATATGTAAACAAATAAAATGGTAAAATAAATCTGACCAAGTCAAGTTCAATTGGCTTCTGGAAGGACAGTTCAGGATTTCTTGTCAGCATGGTGTCAACTATTACAATGGTCTGTGTGTGTATTAGTGAGCGTGTATGTATATAGGCTTGCGCATTCAGGTGTGTGTGTGTGTGTTTGTTTGTGTACGAGTATGTACATGTGTTATCGTAATGATGTGTTATTATTTAATGAAATGTTGCTATGTGATATTTTAAACGTCCCGGCACATTTCTGTCAGTGATAACATACATTAATGAAATATTAACATTATAACATTTTCGGACAAATTATCAAAAAACTTTCGAAATTTGTATCAGGATTATCATCAAATAGAAGTAATATTAAAAAGAGACCTCGACAATGAGTTGTCTGTACGTTGGTTCAACGATCTTGCTCAGCATCTGATCGACAACCAGTGAGAAGTTCAATTCATATTGCGTCATGTCGGATAGCGTTGGTTGCTAGGTTCGTTGGTTAACATTATGTGACATTAATTAAATTAATTATTTTACTGGGAATATTAAAAATTAATACAAAAAATAAACATTCAACGGATTGTGCTGAATTTATCTACAGACATTATTTTTCAGAAACATTAATTTATTAACGGGGGATCTATATTTACGATTGAAATGAAAAAAAAATGAAAAATAAATAAACAAAATTATTAAAAATTGTACAAAGAAAACAAAAAACCTGCGGCAAGATATATCCGGACAGTTTGATTCCAGACGGTGTCCTCTCTAGGATGTGCCATACTCTTTCGAAGAAATCTCTCGGAACTCTGTTCAGACATCCATCCAGCTGTCTGTTCCATATGATTGATCTGTCAGGCAACAAATCAATGCTTCATTAAACAATTCAACTGTGTAGCAAATTAATTTGAATGAACGATAATTCTACTTATGAGCATATGAACCCATGGTTAGAAAATGAAACAAGATAAATTAATGAACGCAAGAACCTCTCGTGGGTGTAGTAGCTAGTTGAATCATGTCTCTTGTCCAGTACTCGAAAGAGCAGCTTTTTGATGGCACTTGGTGAAAGTGTGTACAGGCTGTCCTTGGTCTTTTCCTTGTACTTCATGTCCAACTTCATTGCCTCAACAAGCAAGCTGCGTGTATTAGCAAACGACAGTTTAAAAGTTACCATTGAAAAAAAGTAGTTAGAAAAAATTTCCAGAAAAAACTATTTTACTCTGTAACAGCAACAACATTCTAAAAATCAATTAAAATAAAATTAAAACTCATAAATAATTGAAATAACAAAAACAAGTAAATGAATAATAATAATAATGCAAAGGATATAAGAGAACTAAGAGAGATCTGACCCTATCCTAATTTTGAGAATTCCTTGGAACAGCTCAGGAGTTGTAGTTATGAAAGTTCCTGTAGTTGTACAAGATGGCAAATAAAGTTCAATCAATATGAAATTAAAGTGCAAGAAAATAATACATAACTAGCTTATCATTCAGCTAATCAGACAGCTGATTAGTTAGCTGATAAACCAGCAATGCAGCTAGCTGCCCGATCAATCAGCTGATCAATCTACTGGCAGAGCAACCAACTGACCAATCGATAGAGCAACCAGTTGATTAACAAGCTGATCAATTTTCAAACTACTCAGATATTAACTCAACGGACCAATGTTAATAATGAGTTCCTGTTGGAGAACAGCTTGCGATGGATCTACAGGGTAAAGTTTCGTGTAGAGAACTTCTTTGATCTCCAGTGGAGTGATAGGTTTGTCCACTACATGTTCCTGCTGGCCGTACACACTGATCGTCAACTGGTAGATGAATTAAGAAATTATTACAAGTGAAGCTGTGAAACATCTGCAAAATTATCTCACAGCAATCTTAAAAAGTAATTTTATTTTGAAAAAAAAATTTACAAAAATATGATAACGAAATGATCTTGAAATCGTTGAAACTTGTAAGGGCAAAATAAGATGTAGTAAAGAAAGTTGAAAAATAAAATGTGTAAAAGTGAACCTGCTTTCCGCGGACAAGGATAGCAGTTATGGAAGGTGCAAGACTATCAACTAACTTTCCAAGAACACTCGAGCAGTACCTCACAACACTCCTGACGTTTGGTCATCATCAACATCATCTTCGTCGTCATCATCATCATCAGCGTCACTATCGACATCATCATCTACATCATTTCCGTCATTATCATCGTTGTTACTATCGTCGTCATCACCATCGTCATCATCGTCATCATCATCATTGCTATTAAAATTGTCACCATTTTCCTATCCTCATACTCAACAAGTTAAAGAAAATATAGGTAATAAATTAATATAACATTATTAGAATTCAGATTTTTGGCAAGGATTATAAGAATTAAGCAAATAATATCGAAAGTACGAAAACGACGATGACAAAATAAAATGATAACAATGAAATTATGGCAAAGAAATGCCCAACTGACCACAGTTGGGCAGTAGCCGCAGTGTGAGACAACTTCTGGAGTCTTTGGTCGATCGTCTGCTCGTCCAGCAACTCATACAAACCTTGTTTCGTTGGCGGTTTTATTTTGAGTAATTTAACAAAAATTATCCATACAAGTGATGAACAACAATTAATATTCTTCATTTAACTCTAAATTCTTGCTGACTAAGATTATACACAATTAATATTTATAGAAACATTCATATGAACATGAAACTAACTTTATACATTTTAATACCGAATTTCATATAGTTCATATATCCTGCCAGCTATGCAAAAATCACATGAACAAAACGAAATTGTAGTCAGTAACGAAAATTCCATAAGGAAAAAGTGTCCCGGAGTTGACCAGAATACAATTTTTAAAATGTCTCCAGTCTGGCCATTTAAATATACGACAAGGACAACATAAATAGAGAAAAATAGCAGCATAAATATGAAAAGTAGCAACTGAAACAGGGAAATTAACAATTTAATAAAGAAATTTTGAAAAAAAAATGGTTGTGACCAATGAAATAAGTTACACGTACAATGAAAAATTAACAGCGATTTAACCTTTCCTTTTGGCAAGTTCTCTGAGAGCTTGTGCCTGTCTAAAGAGGTTGAGAGGGCTCTTAACCAGCATGATGAGATCCTGGATATGCATGCTGTGGTACTCCTGTATTTCCAACATCATCATCATCATCATTGTTGTCGTTGTTGTCATCATCCTCAACACCATTATAGCCATCATCACAATAATCAGTATCATCATCAGTTACATCGTCATCATAATCAGTATCATATCATCATCTCATCAGCATCATCATCATAATCAGTATCGTCAGCATCGTCATCCTCTTCTTCCTCCTCTTAATTCTTACTAACAGCTTCATCTGTCCAGTCCTCTTCAATTTCCAGCTTCAGCGATTTCGGTATGTCAGTGAAGCTCTTGAACTGCATGCCTAAAACAGAAATAATTTTAATTAAACTTATTTAATTTTAAAGACATTAAACATCATCTTCACCATCGCCATACCATCATTGTTATCATCGTCATCATCAGTAACGTTTCGTCGTCATCATCTTCGTTTAATGAAAATAAATGATAAATTGCCTTTATCCTTTTCTGTCATTGGGCAGAACGTGTTGGCTATATCGATGTCCAAGAAATCCAAGTGCTCTATACAACCTGTAGCTATGAACTCCTGATAACGATGATGACGTCGTAATGATGATGATGATGATGATGATGATATCGTGATGACAGCCATGATAAGGATGAAATGATGATGAATATCATGGCTACTAAAAATTATCACAATGATGATGACAAGATGATTGTGATAATAGCAACCACACCACACACACACACACACACACACACACACACACACACACACACACACACACACATATATATTTATATATATATATATATATATATATATATATATATATATATATATATATATATATGTTGGTAATAGACCATAATTTTTACAATATTCTATAAATTCTATAATATTTAAAATTTATAGAATATTGTTATATATATATATATATATATGCATATATATATATATATATATATATATATATATATGAAGTACTTGTAATCTTCCAAGTCTTATTTTCGTGCCATCACAATCGCCTTTTTTGAACTGTGCCAACAGATCCAATATATACCTAGCCCCAACACCTCTGGTGAACGAAAAATAAACTCTCAATTAATTCAAGAACTAATTATTAATATCATAATTAAAGATGGGTTTTAACGAAACCAACGCAGTATAGTCTTGAAAGTATAATATATATGAAGATACATTATTATTCATGAAAAAATAAAAGTTCACAGAAATTAAAAACGTTGGAGAAAGATGGAGTTATTGGTGAGAGGTTCAGTTAGGCACCTTAGATTTTCTTCCCTCAATATCATACAGAACGTAGGTCGACCAGCCAGCTTCCAACATTTTCCTAAAAAGGCCAAGTCACTCTGAGAAAATTTTGTAGGTCATTTTGTTAAATAAACCGACAAAACTTTACTTATAAGATAGGATTTTTGATTAAAAATTTCAATAACATTAGTGATAATTAATAATAATAATAATTAATAATAATAATATAATCAAAAATTATTTTATAATTAACAGTTTGATAAAATGATAAAATATCAACTACCATAGCATGCAACACTTAAGAAAAATGTACAATAAGAACAAAAAAAACAAACTTATCACTCACAGTAAAAAAAAATATGAAAAAATAAGGAAAAATAAAGAAAAAAGTAAATTTTAAAAGAAATTAAAGTAACTAACCTTAACTTCATCAATGACAAACTCAATATCTTGGGCCAAATAGAAATCAGAAATATGAAACAAGAGGGAGTAGCAAACAAAAGTATAACCACAAGCTCTGTATATCTATTGGTATGTTTGCATCACTTTGTTGAGGCATGTTTTTTTTTGTTTGTATCTTTTTGTATGTTGATGTTGTATATCTATTTGTACGTTTTGTCAGATTTCATGTTGGACTGCATATACAAATGTGTGTTTGTTTATAATACATGTGAGCTTACATGAACGTATATCATAATTATATTCTGTATTTGCACAATGTATTTTGAAGGGCATAGGCTAGTTATAAAGCCAACACTGAGAGAATAAACTGTAAATACAATTGTATCTATGTATGAAGAAATGAATGAAAGTGGGATCTCTATGTAGGGAACAGATTGTGCAATAGCGACAGTAAATTTTCCGGAATGATTCACTGTTTAATGCAACTTAAAAACTAAACGTTGCAAACAAACAGCATTCTGAGAATTCCACTAGGAAAATAAAGAAGAAACAAACTAAACAAAACTTAAATCTTTGATTATAGCAGAGACATACATACATACATACATACAGTTTGCATTGATATGATACAATCAAATTCTACACGATGAGTAAGTAAAATGACATGCCACGAATGACATGACACAACACCTGTATGACATTGGTTACGAATTCAACGTCCTGACTCAAGTAGAAATCACCTAACTCGAAAAGTAACGAAGTGCAGATTGCTAGGTGGCCGAAAACTTTGAAGATCTTTCAAAATGAATATTCGTATCTTGTGCGTATTTGTATCTTATGTGTTACGATTTGTATCTTATGTTACGATTTGCAAGGATACAAGTATCTGTATATATAATTTTGAAAACTATTGATATTCCATTCACGACTGTGTGAATTATTTTTAGATATGGATAATGTTATACATAAAGTGTGTAACTTTATTGATGTATGTGATGTATGTAACGAGTTATGTGAGATGAATTGATACCACACGAACAAACACAGACACACACGCACACACACACGCATACACACATACACAGTACCCACCTTAGCCGTTCCTAAACCGCCAATGGGTCTCGGCGGTCTGCCAGTCAATCCTAACTTTTCATTCACACCTAACTGTTCGTAAGCCTTTGCGAGCTCACTCGGTGGCCATATTTGAATTGGTTCAACCTAGTTAATCGTATCGTGATTGTATCACCAACACCATTCTTGATATCGTCACCATCCCCATCCCCATCTTTGTTACCGTCATCCACAACATCATCATCACAATCTTCAGCGAATATTCATTAATAAGATATATATAGCGATCATATCATAGCAGTAGTTTTAACCATCATCATAATTGGAAGAATGATTAGTGAGTAAGTAATTATCATTATCATTCTCGTCCCCATCATTTTCATCACCATCATCATCACGTAATCATCAGACAAGTAGCACAAACTTGATGTGGGGTTTGTGTCTGAATGCCATAAGTGGCTAGCATTTGTTGAAGTCGAACGCTTTCAGCTATCAGGGACACCTGGATCACCAAGTCTACAGGCGAACTCTATCATAAATATTAAACGCTATGCTATCAATATCATTTTTATCATGGTATCATTATCCTCTATCATCACTATATGGTATCATTATCTCTTACCATCAACATGTCATTATCATCTTTTATATTATCATTATCATGATAGATCTCTAATCATCAACATTTAGGTCATTACTATCTTTTATATCATTAATATCTCTAATATCATGATGCTATTATAATTTATATACTTTTACCATCATCACATTTTAATCATCAATATTAATGCTAATCACACTATCATTTGGTGATGATAGTAAATTTTTGAAGTGATAATTTCATCATGAATAAAAATGAAATCGACTTCTAAAAAGAACAAATTGAAATAACACAAAATAGCCAACTGAAGCTATCCAAAGAAACAAAATAAAAAAATTAACGATTCTAAGCAAATAAAATAATTTTACAACTATAAGTAAACAAGAGTAAACCAAAAAAATCATTTCAATAAAATCAACAAAGCCAAAAAACTGAAAAAAAAACTAAAATATGTTAATCACTGATCGTATGTGTAGCAGCGATAATATATGGTGGTGAAACTTGGGTGTTGAGGAGAGAGGAGGAAAGTGTACTGCAGAGGGCTGAAAGAGCTATGGTGAGGATGATGTGTGGGGTTAAAGTGAAGGATAGGAGGAGTAGTACAGAGCTGATGTCAATGATGGGACTGAATGAAAACATTGTGACATTGATAAGGAGATCGAGATTGCGGTGGTATGGACATGTGTTGAGAAGGGATGAAAGGGTCGGGATTAGGCGAGCGTTGGAGTTCGAGGTTGAAGGAGTGGTAGGAAGGGGTCGTCCGCGATTGGGATGGAGAGAGCAGGTGGAGAAGGACAGGGTGAAAGCGGGGTTGCGTGATACTGAGGCGAGTGACAGATGTGGATGGAGTCGAGGGGTATTTCGGTTTCATCATAGGTAGCCAAACGGCAACCCCCGATCTCGGGGAAAATGCCGTCTAAACGTGTGTTGTTGTTGTTGATCATATGTGTAACTGAATCAAATTAAAAAAGCCAAGCCAGTATAATATAACTACTAAAAGCCACACACACACACAAATAATTATCTCTAAAAACACTAAAACACATACACAGAGGCACAAAAAGAATATTTTTTTACTTAAAAATAGATGGTGAATAAGCAGCCACAAATTTATATATTAATTTGTAACAAAAATTTCTGTAAATGTAACAGGTTTCCCACATTGGTGGGTTCAAAAGTAAAATAATTTTGCTATATGAAATCATATGAAATATATGATATATATATATGAAATCATAAATCATTCACAATTTGGTAGATACATTTATAATTTGTCACTCAATAACAATTAAAATAAGCATAATTAAAATAATAATTAAAATAATAACAATAAATTAAATTAAAATAAATAAATAAATTAATTAATAACAAATTAGAATAATACTAATAATAATTAGGAAAAAAATAATTTATAAAAGCCAACAAAATTATCATCAAACATCGCAGAGCAATATGGTATCATTATTTTTTAAATGTCATATAATAGACATACCAGCAAACAAATTTTTAATTTAAGACAAAAATTTAACGTAGCTAAAACAATCATCAATAATTTCATCATCAGAATAAAAATAAACACACAAAAAAACAACAGGCATCCATTATCTCACGGACACACTCAGTGCAAAACACACAAATCCATGTAGTTAATTACTGACAGAAACAAATACGTGCTTGAAAGATTTATTTTTAAATTCTAAAATACAGAATCTATCACAAAATAAAAAAAAATAAATTAAGCCACTTGACAATGAATAATTAATTGCACGAAAAATTATATAAAAACACACGTACAGGTAAGTAGATAAAAAAAAATTAATGCGAAAAAGGTTAAATAAACAAAAAAGATTAACAAAAAATAACAATAATAATAATAAAATAATAATAATAATAAAAGCTGCAAAGAGGCAAAAGATGATGGGCATAACGAAAATGAGATACCTGCTCAGCTGAACCTCTCTGAAATTAACAAAGGATATTTTGTTAAGTAATAACGATAAAATAATTAAAATAGTAATAATAAGTAGAAGAAAAAGATGAAGAAGAAAAAAAGCAGAATACACAGAGCAGTAATAAGTAATACAACCACGCACATATACTCACAAAGTTGTTTGTGTGTTTCTGTATGTGTGTGCATGTGTTGTCTACAATGCCGAGTTTTTATTTATTTAAACCTTGCAAATAGGTAGAAATGTCAAATTCTTGATGAAAAAACTTGAAAAACTATGTAGAGTAGAAGTGTGTACATGAACAGCAAGTGTAAAAAATGTACTCATACATACCTATAACTACTTATAAATACCTGAAAATACAAGTATTTATATATGATATATTTTATGTACATAGCTAGCGACTATGAATGAGGTAGTGGATTAAAAAGTATTTCATCAATGAGCATGCAAATATATCAGCGTGGAACGAAAGCATTTGCCTGAATGTTAATATCAGCGTGTGCAGTGAAGTATTTCGTCCTGTCAAGCCAATAATGAAGATGCTAATTATATGAAAAAGCATAAAAAACAAATAGATGATAATAAGATAAATAAATAAAATAACAAATAAACATTAACTATTACAGTAGAACTACTGTAGAAAATAATTGAATAACTTATAATAACAGGAGAAAACGTCAATGAACCATTTCTGCTTACAAAATAACAAGTGAACGACACAAACATTGAAAAAAACTTATATTACATTTCATTAACATAAATATATAAATATTCATGAGCAAACATAATTAAAATGAACCAAATAATTGTAATACTATAATGAACAGAAAAACATGAATATCCATAAAGAAGCAGAAAGCCATGCCCACCTGGAATGATGAGTACCTAGAGTTAGCCTTAGGCCTCTCGGCCGCAGGGAGGTGTCTTCTTATTGGATCGAGTTCAGAAATGTTAATCAAGCCATCAACTGATAGCCAGAGTTATTTGATTGGCGGTGGTGAATGGAATGATTTGTGGATCGTGAGATTTAGTGGTTGGATGAAAAATTAATTATAACTGGTAATATGTGCGTGTCATTCATTGCAATACTTTCTAACTGATTAATTAAAGCTTATGAATACCTGCCATCATCCTCTTCATCGCCATCATCCTCTTCATCGCCATCATCCTCTTCATCATCATCATCTACATCATCATCAACAGCAACTATATCGTCATAATCATTCCTATCATCATCACAACCAGACACATACAAACGGCCATAACAGATAAGATTAAGGAGTATGTCCGAATTCCAGATTTCAACTGTTTTTCAAACTTTTCAAATTCGAAATGAACTTTCGCTATTTACACTATCAAAAGACAAACTAATTAGATATTCCACTCAAATAGCAAAGCTTAAAACAATTTCAGACAACCTAATCCTTACTTAACCATTGGACTGTCCACTGCTAAACAAACGATAACTCCAACGCATAATCCATCTTCTTATATTCGAGCAAATTAAACTGAAAAATGCAAAATTGCACACATGATTCCCACCGCAAACATACCCTCTATCAGCGCGTGCGTAAACAAAATTTATACAAAACTTTTTTTTTTTGTTAAGCAATACAATCAAAAGTAATTTACGTGTATGAGTGCATTAGCAAGTAGATGGAAACATTTCTACAATTTGTGCAACAATAAAAACCTCACTAATGGAGAAACATGATCAGTGCAATCAGCAATCATGTATCAATTGAGAATCAAGAAATAGATCATTGAAACAATCCAGCGAAACCACGGAATGAATGTAATTCAATTGTAGTGTAGATCCTATGAAAAGAAATGTAAGGAACTGCTTGTGACGGTTGTGCTAACATCACCGTAATAACATTACAACAACAACGTAATAACATTATGACAACAACACGAACAAGGGGACGAATAGCAAACTGGAACAACAAAAATTTGGCAAGAAAATTAAACAAAGAAACACATAAACAAAATAAATGAATAAATAATAGAAATGATTGTAAGCCAGTCCGTAATATAAATATGAAGCATAGTAAGACGATCACGATCCCAAGTTAAAAGCGTTGTAAAATATTTAGTGTTATATACCCAGTTATTTATTTACAAGGTGTTTGCTATGCATAACTATCATTGCTGTTATTGTAGCGAATATTACTTAAAATTATGAAAAATAATTTAATAATTGTTAATTAATAAATAAACAAATAATAATGAAAAAAGTTTTTGTTGTTATTTCTATTGTGTGGAACCTGAAAATTTAAATATCTGGAATTATGCCTGGGTCTGAGTGAGGCCGGCAGACGTCTGCTTATCTGATCAAGATCGTGCTTCGATATTAAGCCATCAACTGATTGAGAAGCATGTGTGTGTGTTGTGCGTTTTGTTTGTGTGAGTGTATCGTTTGTATGCGTTTGTCTGTTTGCACATACATATGTTTGTGAGCGTGTGCGTGCGTGCGTATGTGAAAGGGTATCGTTTGTATGCGTTTGTTTGTGTGCGTGTGTTTGTGCGTCAGTGTGGGTGTGTATCAACCCTGTAATTATTTGTATTAGTATGTTTCTGTCAGAAATTGGATGTATTAGATTGCATTCTGAAGATTAAACTTTTGTATGCTAGTATTAATATATATATATATAAGCGTCGGTACATGATTTTGTTTATGTTTTTTCAATTCAATTCATGTAAGAAAATTGTGTTGAGGTGGTTTTTGTAACTTAGAATGAATGTATTATAAGCACATGCTGCGTTCCGCTATGACGATGATGTTTGTGAGAGACTGAATAACCATTGAAAAACGTTGGAATGATTTTCTGTTGTTGTTTTGAAAAAAAAAATGTATAGATATAGTTTACATACATATATGTAAGTATTCTGGAATTTAGGAAGGTATGTATATGAAAACATTGTAAAGGCATTTTTGTAATAAAAAAAAGGTTGATAAGCATTGCATTGCACCTTGAGCGTTCCATCATGACTCCTCACATGTTCACCACTCAACACTCATTTTTTTGTAAACTTTGATAACTTGTTGAAATACTAACCACTATTTTCTTAGAATATCAAGACATTGCATACTATTGGCAAAAATTGACAGAAACGTAAAAATTACTTACATAAAAAAAATTAAACACTACAGCAAAACAGATCAGTCTGCAGCATACGTTAACAAACAAACAAACAAACAAACAATATGAAGAAAAACAAAGACAAACAAACGAAGACTGACCTAACATCCTAGCGATAATATAAACAGACTGTCCCCAGAAGAAGATGTTATCCTTCTTAGTGGCCTCGTTGATGTTTCCCTTGGCGCTGGGCAGTCGATCCTGGCTACCTGGCCTCAACCTCTCCTCATTTATACTGTACTGTGGCACATAGTAATACTTCGGCACCAGTGGTCCTGACGATGGTAAAGCAAGGGACGGTGCATCAAAGATGGATTGTGATAGCTTAATGGCACAAAAATTTAATACGCTAATGACCCTTTAATGCTAATTATTCCTTAGCAGAACACATGCTAAACACCAACCAGACATTCCATCAATCAGGAGAGGCTTAAGCAGATCCATGTACTCATGTGCCTTGTCCATATCTCCCTTATATACACCTATAAATAGCAAAAATATTATTATTATTATCACCACTATAATGATTATGGCTAATTTATGGCTAAGGGGATTTTTTTTAAATAAAATAAAAATGGTAACGAACTGTCGATAGCCAGGTAGCAGTAGAACATGGGCCACTCGCACTCTATGCCGTCAAATTGCTATCCGCAAATGAAATTTTAATACAAAAAAATTATTCAATCACGAATTATCACAAAATTTATAAATTGAAAAAGCTTGAGTTAAACAAATAAATCATTAAATAAAACACTAAATAAAATAAACAAAGCTAAGCAACAGAACAAACTTAGGTATAATAATCAATGATATAAATTCCTAAGAAATGCACACTTAACAAAAGAAATAAATTATTAAAATTAAACTTTTAATTATAAATTAAGTTGAAACGTATTTCAAAATAAATAATCAAATGACCTTGACATCACTGGTCTTATATTTCTTTCCTTTTTCCTCCAAAACCGTGCCATAGCCATCTCTCAAGAATCTCTTCAAACCGTAACGACCTAAAAATTTAGTTAAAAAATAGATGCTTCATTTCTGAAAATGTACGAAATGATAAAACAATGAAATCTCGGAGGAATAACTAAGAGAGTATAATAATAATAAAATCAGTAAATTAAATTTTAAAATGCAAAAATATGCAAGTGACCTTTCAGTTTGCGAAGAGCCTTGTCCAATGTCCTCTGTACGAGTTGCTCCTCGTGAATCGCAAAAACTGGCCAACTTATCGTGGCTACCAACGCTGCATCTGTGTTCTATGTGTGCGTATGTGTGTGTGCGTGTGTGTACGTGTGTGTGCGTGTGTGTGAGAATGCAAGAGGTTTGTATTGTTAACTGTGCATATGCATGCAGGTAATAATGTGATGTGTACTGGATGTATTATTTATATCTGCAAGTCGTATTGCTATCTACTTATATTACTTAATCATGTTTATTTATAAGAGTGTTGTTAAGGCAAAAAATTGTAAAAAGAAAAATTTAAAAAGGAAGAGATAAATTATAAGAACCAAAAAAAACACAATGCATTGCAAGAGAACAAATCTAGTAAAGCATAGTTTAACAAAAAGAGAATCTAAAATGCATAAGCAAGCAAACTTCAGAAGCAGATTCCCTCGGAAGTATTGTATCAAAAATGATTCGATTTCTGTAATGTGCATCAATGTCAATGAAGATGACAGACCAGTTGGAGCCCTGATTGCCATACAAGTTCATCCCGTTGATTGCCTCAAGAGCTGCTTTGGCCGTACCTATGGAGCTACATGTTTCAGGAATGAAGTTCACTTGAAATATGAAATAGTTTAATGAAAAATTTTAAATAATGAAATTTTTAAAAATTATCATCAACCATCATCCAAAAATGGAAATTAATACCATAAAATGTGAGCAAAACCAGACAAGTTAAATGTGAAAAAATAGTTAGCTGTGAATTGCTTCAAAAATCATGATGAAAAAAAGCTAAAAAAATAGATTAATGCATGAAAATGTTTTTTGTATGAATACTAACAATGTGGTTAAATAAAAATAGTTAACATATAATGTTCAGCCACTTGAAATGAAAGCAACTTGCAGGAGCCATAAAACATTTTTAAAAACGCCGAGAAACAAAGTACAAAGGATAAAAACATGAATAAGAAAGTAGATCTACCAAAGAACTGCAACGTTTTAAAATATGATAGCCAGACAGGGAATAAATTTGTCATTGGATACTTCAAAAAACCTCGTTTTTGGTTGATGTTGTTCTTAAATAGCAATAACCACAACAGCAACAACTATAACACTAATAACAGAACATAGCAGAAGCAGCAGCAACAACAACAACAGCCAAAACCACAACAACCACAACGACATTATGAAGAAATTAACCTTGCATGCAACTCGACAGATCCATTGTTGTACTTGCTCCCACGCTCCCACACCCCAAAATCCGGAGTCCTGTATGCCCTTTCTATGTAGAATACAAGGTTCTGTATGAAGTTTACCTCGTCTATGCACCAGATTATCTGCAAGTCAGTGAAAACAAGATTGTTTGCAGGGATGGTTTATTCAATTGAAAATAGAAAAAAATGTATATATATAAATATATTTCGTTATATCAATCACACACAAAAGTTATAATAAATTTATTTAGCTGGAATGATAATTCATTCTGGTATATAAAAAAATTAAAAATAATGATCTGAGCAAAACAAAAATAATCTCAACAAAACAAAAAACTTAAAACACATTCTAAATTTGAAGAAAAAAGAAGAGAGAAACAAACATAGCAGCCAGACTGAGTCATCTGAACAAGAAAGATGAGGTAGAGGGCCAGGCAATCCAGCTGCATGTGTGTATGTTTGTATGTGTGTGTAAGTGTGACTGTGTATGTGTGTGTACATACATATGAATGTGTGTTTGTGTGTATGTGAATGTGTAATTCTGCGTTTATGTGTGTGTGTGAATGATTTTGTGTGTGTGTGTGTGTGTGTGTGTGTGTGTGTTCACGATGTAAACACCATCAGTGTCTATAATTTACTGTAGTACTTACAAATGATATATTATCAATGCAAAATTCAATTCAATAACATGGTAAAATTGCTTGATTATCACATAAAATGTAAAATAATTGTTAAAAAACAGAGTTAACAACAAGTTACAGCTAAATGTTATTTTAATTTTATAAAAATATAATACATAATTCATATACAAACATATATAAATAAAAAAGTATGTATATGAATTAAATTACTTTAAAGATGTATACAAGTGCATGAAACCTGCAAATGTTCATACTCCTCATCGCCAGTGACTGTTCCTTGAGTTGAACTATCAAACAGAACGTGGAGAGAGTTCTTGGACGACTGTGTCTTCTTGAAGAGTTCCACCTTGTCTGCCTGGTACATCCAACATTCAAGGATGCCCCTCATGGTCTTCACTGCAGTCAGCAACAATTCCTTGGTACGACCCTGGTCATCATCTATTCGCCTGGATTCATTGGAGCAGGATATTTTTAAAAAGTTCTACACTGCTGTTCAAACGCATATTCAGTTTAGATATTTAATATTTCAAATGCCATTTAAAAAGCAATAATGGAATCAGTGTCTGTAGATAAATAATTAGGATAATAAAAAGAATCTACGAACTTGTACGCTTGGGAGAGGGCCCACATGGCAGCAGCACAGTAGATGTTGTCTCTTATGTGGGTCACGTTGCAGGTGGGGTCGCTCGTGTCCCTCGGGAACAAACCAGACACCAAGTGTTGGTGGCACATGATCTGTTTCTTGACTGTTGGTTTGTCAATAGTTTAAAATTTATATTAAAAGCTGAAACATAATTACTAAAGTAAATTTTTTAAAAATTTTGACTGACAAAAAATTAATTTTTTAATCACATCACTATGAATTGTATATAAAAAAAATTAAGAATGTGAAATCATGTTTTTATAATTAGAAACTCACAAGTTCAAACATCAAAGCATATAAAATAAACCTAATCAATTATATTTTGTTGTATCAAAATCAACTTGAACATGAAGTTTGCTTGATGGGCACGTCAAAGAACAAAAAAAACATTGAAAAACAGATATACAACAAATCAAATCCAAATGATCAATGTGAAAGCAAGCAACAAACCTAGCTGATAATAGGTGTTGAGTTTTTCAACTGTATCTGCATAATTAGATTGTGAAGTTTTGGCTCTGTCGTCCATAATGGCCGAGTCCCTCCTCTGCCTTGTCCTCAAATTGTCGGCACCTTCCATAGCGTCATATGACGAAGCATCACTGAACTGACTACTGAAAGTCCTAGGATAAGCTGTGGTTGCAGCAGACATTGAAACTGGTTTTGGCACTGGTGAGCAAATTTAAAGTTTAAACTTTGAGATTGAAATTAGTTTATAATAATTGAAACTGCAAATCACAATTTTCAAACACTTTTCATGAAAATTTCAGAAACAATCGGCGATTTAAACATTTATAATGAAGAAAAGTTTACAAATAAATTGTTCCAATACCAACCTTGAACTTTAAATAAGATTAAAAATAAACAGACTAACAATTTTTATGTAAAGTAACGAATTTTCAATAATTCCTGATAAGTTTATTCTATGTATACCTATATATTTTGATGTAAGTATGTAAAGTCGTAAAAGTAATGAAACCATCAATCAATCAATCAATTAGCTTATAAAGCGCTATTTCCGCGATGTTCAACAGCGCTCCTCAATGAATTTTGAAAACAGATGGGTCTTGAGATCCGCTCTGAACTTCGCAAGCGATGGAGAAATAGTTAGAGAAGTAGGCAGAGAGTTCCAGAGAAAAGGACCAGAAAAAGCAAAAGCAGATTTGGCAAAAGAGTGTTTAACACGAGTTAAAAAAAAGCGAGAAGAAGAAGACGATCGTAAACCGGGGCGTTTAGGTTCAATTAATATATCTGATAAGTAACAATTCAATCATATACATATAATATTTTTGTATATATATGATGATGATGACGATGAATATTTTACATTTGTACTTCATTTGGTTGTGGTGAGAGATGGTGTACGTTATGAACAGGGAGCAGGTCGAAAATTCTCACCATATATATATATATATATATATTTATTTATATATTATATATATATATTTATATATACATATATATATGATATATATATATATATATATATATATGATATATATATGTATATATATATATATGATATATATATGTATATATATATATATATATATATATATATATATATATATATATATATATATATATATATATATATATATATATGGTCATAAACATGTGTGTGATAAATAAAAGGCTTCATCCAATCTATACATGGATATATATACGGATATATATATATATATGCATATATATATATATATATATATATATATATATATATATATATATATATATATATATATATATATTTACAATATTCTATAAATTCTACCGAATGTTTGGCGTTAATATGTTTGTAGTTCTTTTTTTCAATTTTTCTCACTAAAGTTTTTTGGTGAACGTTTAGTTTATTAAAATTCAAAATAAACTTATTTTCCGAATTCATGCTGCAAATAAGGCCATATTTCGATTCCGAATGAATCATCATCAGTGCTTTCTGATGTTTATATAGTGAAATATTGACTTTGTCAAAAAGAATTTAGATGGAGATTGACTTTGTCAAAGTGAATTTAGATGGAAAATAGGTGTCAGGTTTCTTTATTGGCTGGTCATCTTCTTTGGTCTCCTCTTCTTCATCGATAGCATCATATTCTTTTTTGTCACTATTTACAATGCTAGTTTTTATTACTTCTTTGTTTTCTCTACCTACTTCTCTGGCTACTTCTCCATCACTTACGAAGTTCAGAGCGGATCTTAAGACCCATCTGTTTGTAAAATTCATTGAGGAGCGCTGTTGAACATCGCTGAAATAGCGTTTTACAACCTAATTGATTGATTGATATACGTGACGTTCATTTAGGAGAGATTTCACTTGACCATATCAGACTCATTTCATTCTATCCGTTGAACAATTAATAAACAACGAATCATTTTTTAAAGTCTTTTTTAACTTGTTCTTCATAAATGTACAGGAAAATGTTGACTAATATTCCGCAATGGATAAAATTTAATTTAAATAAACACAACATTTATCACAAAACTATTTAGTAAAATCGAACACAACGAATACAAAAATAACATTTTAGCATCGAGCGACAATTATTAAAATATTACTATTAATAAAAATAAAATATGCAAATTTATATAATTCAAACAAATAACTCTTGTACAATCTGTCGGTAAATATTCCCTGACTTAGAAATTTGTATTGCATGAATACGTGAAATGGTCACGTTATAGAACCTATGACACGAACGCACGCACATACACACATACACCTATATTAATATATATATACGCACGCACGCACATACACACATACATCTATATATATATATAAATAAATATATATATATATATATATATGAAATATATATATATATATATGCATTTCTGAAAACCTCGTTCCTAAATATATATATATATATATATATATATATATATATATAAATATATATTTTTTTAAAGAAATATCACTAAATTTTCAGCTTTGACCAGTTTCTTGTTCAATTTTTCAATATTTTGTACCAAAAATACGGTAAGAAATATTGAAAAACTGAACCGGAAACTAATCAAAGCTAAAATTGCAACAAATATTTCTTAATAATTGTCTCACTCATTTCTAATTATATATGTGTATATATATATATATATATATATATATATATATATATACATACATATATAAATGTGTGTGTTTATGTGTGTGTAATTCAAAATCATAGTGATAATATGAAATTTTGTTAAAATTTATGATGTTAAAGTTCAAAAAAAGATAAGCGTTAAATATGAAATGAATAAATAAATAAATAAATTCTAATTAAAAACCATGAAAATTAAAACAGTTTAATCGACCGATGCTGCTCAATGAAGTCATTTTAGATTAGTTTTCAGTCTTTTGACATTGACGGACAAGTTCTTAGACTGTATGGCAGGAACGAGTACAACTCTTTTCGTAGCGTTTGCACCTGGCTGCGTCAGACCAGTCACCGTTAAGGTCTTTGTTATTTTAGTCGGGGTTATCTTGTGATCCGATTTAGATTCGCTTTTAAACTCCGTAAATGACGTGGAATGTCTAGTTTCTGATGTAGTGGTAGCGGCAAGGATGGAACTCGCGGGTATGTGAATGACTTTGACAGAAGTAGTGCGTTCATTGCTTGTGTTGTCGTTAGTCAAGTATGCAACAATGTCGCTGTTGAGATTATCTGTGTTGCTCACGTCGTTAAGACTGAAATTTTCGTCAGAATTTTTGCTGTTGGAATTTGCATGACTGTTCTCTCTGTTGTTATCTCCTTTTAAGTTATGGTCTTTGTTGTCTTTGTTTTCATCGCTACTATCTTTGGTTAAAAGTATGACGCAATCAGTGTCCATTACCTGCTGCTCACTTGATGTGGTGGCATTACCAGAAGCTGTCGTCGTCGTGTTGACTGATGTTGTCGTCATGTCAAAATATGATGAGACAGCGTTGGTAAATTCCTGCTTGACCGACATTGTGACATCCACCGGATCAATGTACGATGTAACCTTGTTAAATTTGTCAATGTCGTCAGTGCTGTTGCTGTCGCGGCTTGTGTTGAGGCTCGTTTGGTTGCAGTTGTTGCTGGTGTTTGTGTTGTTTGTCGAGTTGTCATTGTTGTTCTCGTTCTCACCATCCTCTTCTAAAACATCCAAGCTAGCCGTGGACGGATAGGATTGAAAAAAGTTGTTGGCTCTTGTTCCACTGTGATTGTTCTGCTAGTGTCGATACAATTATAGACACTTCTTATCACAACATCAAACAACACAAAGCTTTTTGCACAGCTCATTTCATCTTCAACATCATCATTATCATCATCGTACTCATCATCGTCATCTTCCTCACCAGATTTTTATTTCCGACAGTGGCCACAGTGGTCTCACCAGCAATTGAAGCCACCTTCTTCTCAACCAGAAAGAACATGTACTCATCAAAGAGCAGACGTATCAAGTGGAACGATCCGAAGCTGGCTGCACTGCGCAATGTCAGGTCTCTTATCACCATGGAACTGTTGGTTGATTGAAGAAATGTTTGTCTGTGTTATTTTATGAATGTGTAGCTGTATGTTGTCTCTATGTGTAAATGTATGTTTTGGGCAGGGCGTGCAACAAATTACGCGTTCGTTTACATGCATATTTTAGTCAAACTTTCAGTGGCACTCTTAGAAATACTGCTGCAAATGTAATAAAATGTCATAACAGAACTATGAAATACAGGAACCTATAAAATGACCAATGCAGAAGGAATTGGTGGGCCACTTTGGTGAAGGTGCTGACATGATGTTCATGAGGGGTGAGTACGAGATTGACCACACCTTCCAACCAGTCCACCCATTCTTCCAGGCTGCTTTGTTTCTCAAGGGTCAATTTCAGATCTGTTTCCAGCTCTTTCACGAGATCTCCATTACATCTGCACACCCAATAAGCTTGCTCCTTTTAAATTACAACAAAAAACTGATCGTAATTGCAGCAACATGATTTGTGAACTATTAAATAACAAACTCACTTGAAGACATAATTTTTTCAACGAAACAAACATGAAAAATAAACATGAAAAATTAGCAAGGAGCTGTAAATTGCTGAAGAGAAACAGCTCTAGTAACTTGAATGTTGCTGAAGTCAACTCTGTTGAGGTCACTCAACATCTGAGTGACCTGCGCTGAATTCTGTAGGACAGCACGAGCCGCTTGTGCCAGGTGGTTCAGTGATGTGTATCGGCGCAGTGTCTGTGAGAATGCATTGGCAGCTGTCACCTGCATTCGTCAGTGTGCGCAAAATTATAAAGTTTAGTTGTATGTTGGAAATATAGACTATTTTTAAATCGTTGGTTTTTGATTTGATACCTAAGTGGTTCAACCATTTTCATCACAAAACACAAAAATCAGTCATTTTACTGAAAACTTGACATCAAATTAACTAATTATCATACTGCCAGCTGGTCAAACATTCAACCAATCTTTACCAACCATAAATCAACCAACATACTGACTAACCAACTAATCAAACAAAATAACAATAACAATCTAGTGGCCCACCACCGGCTAATGAAAAAAATTAATTTTCTGACTGAGCAAGAAAGAAACAAACAAACCTTGCACTCGATCATTTCTGTACATATGCCATTCATTGACCTTCTCAGACTTCCCTCCAGATTCTTGGCGAAGTTTCTAATGACTTGTGTCAGCGTGCCTGCATTCGTTTATTAGTTATTTATTTGTATTATTTTATTAACTAGTTCGTTAGGTTATTTTGAGAAATAAAAAATTCAATTACAAAATTGTTTAATACTTCACAAAATCAACCCAGAAATCATTAAATTAATGATTTAAATTCAAATCATCTCTGCGTTTGAACGAGGCACCCATGAACTGCTAGCAGTTAGAAACATGGCACTTCCACCAACCAAGCCATCTTACAATACACATAAATGAAAAAACAAACAAACAAACGAATAAGCAAACAAACAAACGAATAAGCAAACAAACAAACGAAAATACACTCAAACAAACAAATAAACAAAGCAAATATAGAAACGAACTCGGAATGGGCTTGAGTACATCAGGTATGAGAGTGCCAATGAGTGACTGGTAGAATGTATAATCTGACTTCATGGTGTACTTCTGAACACTAGGCATTTTTGAAAGAGCGTACAAGGCATTGCATGGAAGCGTCCTCTCTAATTCATCATGGCTGGTGATTATGTGATTATTTAATGATCATGTGATCATTTAATGATAATTATGATCATTAAATAATAATTTAATCAATTTTCTATTTTTAAAAATAAAGCGTAACGGTTTAATTCAACGAACATTTTATATTAGGGCTAGATTTTCAAGTATACTTTTAATACCTTAGATAGCTTATTTTGAATGAATTCCAATTTAGTAATCTTCTATTAATTCCTTGACTGTAAACTTAATTCAACAATCTAATCATTCATCCATCCATCCATCCATCTATCCATCCATCCATTCATTCGTTCGTTCGTTCGTTCGTTCGTTCGTTCGTTCGTTTGTTTGTTCGTTCGTTCATTCATTCATTCATTCATTCATTCATGCGACCGTCCACCTATTAATTCATCCAACCTCTGCCCATCTGTTCTCCAGAAAGACTTCCAGAGTGATTCAATGACACTGAACTGGAAGTTGACGATACCAGCCATGATAGCCTGCACACATTTCACAAAAGTATGTTACCATTAAACGCACGAACTAACGAATGATTGAATGAATCAATAAGGTAAATTTTAATGAAAGAATAAATGAAATATACGATCCTACATTCCACTAACCTCGCACTGCTCGGCATACAGTTCTTCATAGGCACCCAGATGTTTTTGGCTAGCTCCATCAGGTATTTCCTCGCCATCTTCTACAAGGATAACTCCAAAATTTGGAAGCGTCACAATGGTGTCGGTGAAGAATTGTTGCTGTTGGCAGTTGATGCCTTCTCTACTCATCTGGGCGCCCTCTATCACTGTGTCTATCATTATGCGTTGTTGTAGTTGCTGCTGCTGCTGTTGAAGCTGCTGTGGTTGGTGATGCTGCTGCTGAATGTGATGCACGCTCCCATTTTGAAGTAGTGAGGAGCTGTTGCAACCGCTGCCGTTGCTGTCAGATGAGTTGTTGAAAAACTATTGAAGTGTATTAAATTTTCGCTTAGTTCGATAGTATTTTACATCTTTCAAAATTTTTTGAGAATACATAAATAAATGTATTAAATAATTTCCTGGTGAATTTTGCATTTTTTATTAGTCTCACAAATAATATGAAATAAATTTTAAAAACGCTCGAGGCTGGTTCAATGAAAAGGCTGTCCCGACAAATGTATCTAAATGTTATTAAATGAAAATGTGAATTTCAGAAATTTTCAATAATATACAATGCATAGAGTCTTATTATTTGTAATTTTTTGTGTTTAAAGATTTCAACCACTTTATTTGCGTGTTGGCATGTTTATGTTTCACAACTTTCCTTAATTCAGCAACTGTTGCAGGTTCATAGGAGATACTTTTTTTTAGATACATGCATGTATTTCAAAGCATTGTATAACATTGAATAGCACTTGAAGCAGTTGTACAGTGCAGTCTTCAACAGTACATGCTTTGTGTACATTTCAAAACAATGCACAAGATTCTCAGTTAAACAGTTTTTTCAACAACAGGCAATAAAAAAACACTAAGATGACAGTTGCAAACACTTTCATATTTCTGAAAGAACAACACAACAATAAACACCGGATCTACAATTACGTGAAGCAATGTGTATCTTCTTAGACACTGTGTTTACACCTACGCCAAATTGCCATCAAATATATTTTCAATTTATTTGATCTTGATGAATATGACGGTTCTGTTTGTTCTGTTTTAGAGTTTGGCGTTGCGTATTGCTAAAATTTGGCGTTTGGCGTATTGCTAAAATTTTCTTCTCTTTTTCATTATAACGTATTTACGTCAAAATGTATTTTTATACATTCTGAAAATGTTTAAAGCTAGTTATGCATTTTGCTTTCTGAAGTTTTCCTGTGCATACATTTCGAAATTGATTTAAAGAATGCAGTCCACTATTAGATTAAATGGTAAACGAATAACCAGAAATTTTCGTGATATGGTTATTAAAACAGTTGCTGTTGCTTTTTCTCCCGAAAACTACAAGAAACAACTTAAGATTCTTCAAACATGCAGTTGCAAGAACATTCAATAAAAAATCTCCACATTTATATAAATAAAATAAAAAAATTGTGACAAATAAGGGCCTGATAAACCTGCGTTCATTCAAATCACTGGGTCTGAAGAGTTGTCCTATTTGTATATTAGTTAATAAGGCCCTAGTAACCAAGCAAAAACAATAACGTGGTTGAGAAATCATGTAAGAATGATGAAGATCAACTTTCATACCCCTTAGTCATTTCTTCGTAATCTGTATCATCGGCGAACTTGCACTCACTCAGTATCAACGATGACGTTGATTTGATCTTGATCCCGTAATAATGGTACTTTGAATTTCCTCTGAAATTTTTAAACAATTAATAACATAATTCCTCAGCTGACAAACATTTATAAATTAAGTCAATTTAATTCATTGGGTGAATAAATACAAAAAACAACAATAAAATAACAGCCAAAAACATAGCAACAACAGAAATGACAAATTTTCTGTAATAAAGATGAATCGTAAGTTGCAGTCAATCAACAAAAAAATCAATTGACAAACAAATCATGCAACAAATCAATCGGTTAATCAACTGAAGGACCAACCTCGTACCCAACCTCCTAGTTCTTATTTGTGGAAAGACGGATCTTATAAGTTTTCCAAATGACGCCTGGTTCATGGGCTCCAACTTCATCTGATCACAGTGACGTAGGTAGTGATTGTAGAGAGAGCTTCGCGGCAAGCTTACACCCTCCGTAGCCTCGTAATTCTCTAGCAGCCAGTTCACCTGTCAAATTAATAACATCACGTTTTTTTTAGAGAGCGCTATCCAAATACTATCATTAATACGTTAATATAATGGAAGTTTTTTTTATGTGTGCAAGTGTGTGCTAGCTTGTGTGGCGTGTACGTGTGCGAATAGTCATTTACTTAATTATAAATGTGTAAAATGATAATTTGTTTTATCAAAAGATTTTTTTAATTTAGTAATTATTGTACAAGATAATGATGACGATGGTAACAGATGCATACATGAAGTTATCATTTACGCTATTAAAACTTAGGAACATAAAAAAAATTAGGAATATTTAGGTCTGGATTAGTTTGTTGACTGATTGGTATGTAGATTGGTCGGTTGAATTGTCTGATGATTGATTGATTGGTTTTATGATTGACTAAGTTAATCTAAATCATTATTTAACCAGGTTACACGGTTAAAGTCATCGCTTACATCTTAACAATCAAAACGGACGATCAACAAAAAATTGATTTGACTGATCTGATTAATTTGATTTGATTAACATCCTAAAAATCAAATAAGAAATTTCACTCACATATATCACTAATAATTTAAGCCAATGTTACGAAACACATAAAAAAAACAAATATAACTTTATAGTAAAAATCAAAGGTGAATAAATAAATGAATAAATAAACGAGGTAAAATAGTACTGATAAGTTAACCAATGTATGTACATAAAATATTTTCATCGTGTAATAATAATAGTAATAAAATTAAATAATAATTAATACAATATTTATAACGATAATTAATTACATTTAATTGGATTATTTAAATTAATACGTTGGGTGAAGAATCATCCATCATTTACGTGATTCGAACATTAAAATTTAAGTGAACTAAAGAAATGCCAATTTAAATAAGTTATTTTGACGTTAATTGATTGAGTGATTAAGTGATAAACTAACTAATTGAATAACTAATTAAATGATTAATAAACCAGTTGAATATAATTGTGAAACTGATTTAAATTTAGCTTTGTTTAAACCTCTTTCTGCCAACATTTGGAATCAAAATATGAGGTTCTATGTTCACTCTTCAGTCAAATATATTTGATATAAAATAAATGATGTGTAGTGGTATGTATATTTTAAATAAAAACGTTCGTGTGTATGTGTTATAATTTATCCGTACATAGTAGCGTATAGTTAATACTCCTAAAGATCATGTTAAGTAATCATTCCTAAACTAGTACAGAAAATGATTACACTTGTTAATCTCAAGAGATATCATGAATCATTTTCAAAGCCACTTTCATAAGAGAACCTAGTCTCATAAGTTACAATCTTGAAATGGACAACTATAGAAAAATTATTTTTACTTGAATGAACTAGCAAGAAAAAACAGGCAATTGCAAACGCCTAAATAACGCAACACAGTTCACCACTGAAAAAGAAGTAGTAGCAACAAACCGTGGCTGGAGCAGCTCTCGGTCCTCCGGTGATCAGCTGGGCATCAACATCTTGAAGCTGCCTGTGAAGTATGAATGTCTTGCCACCAACGCTGCTGTTACTCAGCTGCTGTTGCTGCTGTGGCTGCTGCGTTTGCTGTAGGAAGCCATCTTGCTGCAGCATGTTGTTGCCTACATTCGACTTTTTTGTGATTGTGAAAAGTAACGATGAAATCATCTCACTGAACTTATACAACTCTACGTATACATAGGAAGAAATAAAAAATAAAGACATAATGAAAAAAGTACATGTAGACAATTTTTGTTTTATAATTTAATGTTACAAATTTAAAATGAAAAGAAAAACTGAGGACTAACGTAGAAGACAGTTTGTTGAGGGAGGTATATTGGACCCTGCTGTTGTCTGCATGGTGTCATTTGGCATTTCAGTTTTAATATCAGCAAATTGAACAAAACTTAAATTGAACTTTAAATGAATAAAAACATTAAAAAATGGATGCTGCTCAAACAAAAAACAAAACACTACGAGAACTACAATTATTTGGTGAAAAATAACGTTCATTAATTAAAAAATTAAATCTGTTCAAAAAAGAACTTGCTCTTAAAATATTGAAAAAAAAAATCAAAAATCACTTACACCTGCCAAAAAATAAATAAACTTGACAAAGATCACAAAACCTTATCAAAACGTTTGAGTACAAAGTTAAATAAAGAACAGATGTAAAAAAAACAGGTAAATGAGAATGCATACATGTGATCATTGGAGGATTGATAGACAATTTGACCAGTAGCATCATCAATGTACTGGTAGCTCTCTATGTGATTCAGATTCTTTAATTGATGAAATTGTGGTGGTTGTTGCTGTTGTTGTTGTTGTGTGTTTATTAGGGTGGCGTTGTTGTTGTTTGCATTGTTGTTGCTGCTCGCCTGCTCAATGACCTGTCCATTGCTTGAAACTGATGACAAAGAGAAAGTGTAGGAGACGTAGCAAAATAAAACTAAATTAAAAACATTCAATTAAATTAAATTTATTGAAGTATAAGCAATAAAAACAAATTTTACATACATGTGACAATGTAAGGACTGATGTTGTTTGTATGTGCTGGTAATGGTATTTGTTGTTGAGGCTGTTGTTGCTGCTGTTGCTGCTGCTGATGCTGCTGTGAATTAATGATTGCAACTTTTGTGGCAGGAACAATGTTGATGGACTGTTGCGGATTGAATGAGCCAGGTGGTGGAGGAGCGAGTATTTTGTGGGGGATGACTCTCACTCTAGTTTGTGATGATGTTGGTGGCTGTATTGTGGTCACTTGTATGTGATGTGCTGGCTGCTGCTGTTGCTGCTGCTGGTTCACATTCTGCAATTATTTTATGATTTGTAAATTTTTCAAATGAGAATCAAATAGATATAAAAAATGGCCATTAACAAATTCAATTATACAATTTTTTTCAAATTTCAAGCAGAAAATACGTTTTTTCAAAATCATATACTTTGCAACATGTCATCAATCAATTTTATATTCAGAAAATTTTCAATTAATACATTGGAAATTAATTATTTTTTTTTTAAATTCAACAATGAATTAACCTGAAGAGCAGTTAAATTTTGCATCTCTGTAAATGTGGGCAACATTTGGGACATATCTGAATGAATAACAACAATATTGTCATTTTCTATAATCAATTACAAATTACATAATCACAAATTTCGTTAAAAAAATAATTGAATATAATAGTACTATTGTTATTAATTAAAGAAGTCAACTCACATGTTTTAAAAGTAAAATTCAATAATAAATAAGCACTTGTTACAAATTTAATTAGTTACTAAGTGAGTTGCACTTGTTATAAATTTAGTTAGTTACTAGGTGAGTTACTAAGTTACTAGACAGAGCAACCAATTGTACACTACCTAGGATAACGAATGCCTATGTAATATGTATGTATGTATGTGTGATGCTTTACTCAGCAGAACGTAAAATCTATTTCAAAATCGAACGAACGGACAATGCATTTTTAATTTAAATTTGAAGAAAATTGAATTCTCGTGCAAGGATAAAGCCGAGATTAACGAACAAGTTGAATCATGCAGCCAACATGTCCAAACACGTCTGTCGTCGGCAATAAATAGGAAAAAAGTTCATTTATTTAATCAGAAGTAACATTTAGATGTTCTATTTGAAAAAAGATTTTAAAAAGCAGATGAACAAATAAGAATATGGAATAAAAATGACAGAAAATAAATTGGAATAAAATGTTTCAAAATGAAATAAATGCCATGAAAACGGTTACCTCGAAACAAGAAGCAATTATACGACAACTATCACCTAAGATACCGTAACTATGGTACCTATACAACATCCGGTGCCCAGGTTACATGTATTTCTACGCTTCTTTTATTACCACTCTTTATTCTACACAAGATAGAGTTTATATAAATTTATTTTTTATTATTTAAATAATTTATTAAATGTATTTTTAAAAATTTTTTTTGAAAATTTAACATTTTTTGGTTTTAATTTGTTTAATATTGTTATACTCATTTTTGTTCGTGTCACAAAAAGGCTCAACACTAAAAATGAAAACGCAAAAGTGATCAAACGTAAATAAACGAAAATGGCTACGTTTTGAAATATTAAAAAAATCAGTAAAATGAAGTTAAATTAAAACGAAAAAAGGCAGAAAACGTTCACTAACTGAATAAAATATTGACTATATAATGAAATTTAGGTCAGGATGTGGATCTTCGGGTACGGATCATTAATTTGGAAGGTTGACTTCCCCTTCAAAAGAAAACTTGTTGGTTATGTGAAGGGATATGTCAGAAGATTCTGGCAGGGAAGTGAGGACCATCGAGGCGTGCCCGGAAAGGTGGCTAATTTTTTAAAATTATGAATTCATTTTTGATATAATCAATATTTTCTTTCTAATATTGTTCATTTGATTTGAATAAAAATACTTCATAAAATATTTTTTAATTCAGCCAGGGAGAGTTGTGACCCTTGTCAAGTCAGACTCACCTGAGGTAGCCATTTTGGTTTTTATGATTCATTAACTATAACAACATTTAAATATTTTTAAAAATTATTTTAATTAGTAATTTTGGTAAGTTATATGAATGAACTTGCCAATGTTTGATGTTCAATCTTAACAGATGAACTTAACAATGTTTAATGTTCAAACACACCAGGATGTGGTCTGGGGTGTGGCTTATGAAATTCACCCAGAAGATGAAATAATGGTAAGAACTCACCTGGATTATCGAGAAAAGGGTGGATATCGTTCGTTAGCTGTGCAGTTCAATCCAGTTGACAACATGCACACTCCATTCTTCCTGGATATCTACATCGGATCCAATGACAATCCCTTCTTTCTGGGACCGGCAGGAAATGATGAGATAGCATATCAGATATCCTTTGCTGTAGGTCCCAGTGGATCGAATGCTGACTACTTGTTTGAACTGGCCAAAGCTATGAAGTCCATAGCTCCTCAGGCAGAAGATAGTCACCTATATGATTTGGAGAGGAAGGTGAAGCAGATCTTGAAGCATTCGCACACTGCAGTGAACAGTGCATCTTCCAACATGAGCAAGCAGGCTCTTGCTCTCTAAATTCCAACTTAGCATTGCTACGTCTACATTAATTTTTCTTTTAACAATTTTTGCATATACATTTTTGCAGTAGCCACCGTAACATTAGAAATATTAGGGATTTTTCGCATTTTTATTAGATAACATTTAACTATTGTTGTTGTGACATCATTTTACAAAGTTAGGCAAATATATCTTTAGCTTCAGTGATACTCTGCTTTATTTAATGGTTTGATGTGGCGGAATGCAAGAAAACTCTTTTGAAAGTTTAGGGTGTCCTTGCTTGTCTGATTGCATTTGTTGATGATGTTATGCAGAGGTGTTCTTCGACTGAATTGATTTTTGTTCACATGTTCATTCAAATGTCCACCAGATATGATTGAATTTGATCTTACATGGTTATTTTTGTATCTATGTATGTGCATTTTGAATTTTTGTTAGTGTCGCATCGATGTTTGAATTACAAGCAATATCAAATTTGTGTACAATGCAATATGTGAATTATGGTAACTTTTCAGAATGATAATTGGATTTCTAAAATTTAATAAACTTAATAAGCTTACTAATAAAATTTTAAGACACCATCTTCCGTACTTTTGGAGTTAATTAAATGTTATTGCCATTTAAATCTGTTTCACGCCAGTTATGTACTACGTAAACGGACGTGTTAGGAGTGCAAATCGGTAAAGTTGGAAATATGGTTCTTAAATTGTTGATCAACGAAGAAATTTAAAAAAAAAAAAAAGTAAATAAAAGTAGCTTAGAGAGGCAGACTTATTGTTTGATTGGTACCTTGCAAAGTGTTACATCTCACCATGTGTTTTGTTGAAGTTTTTAGAGGAAGAGGAGCTTGACTATAATGATAACGAGAGGCTTTTGGGTGATGGTATTTATACTTCATTTGCATATAATGCTTAACTGGTTAGTCACACCACGGCCGTTGAGATTAATCGTTAGAAATACAATTCAGATGAGAACATTTTGAAAACATTTATTGAACATGATTCGTAAAAATTAGACACAATTTAAATATCGACTGTTTATGATGACTACATGATACAGCAAACCGATCGCTTATGATGAAAATGACATTATGTTGAGTGTTGATGGTGAGTTGATGAAATTATGATGGTGGAAAAGTGTTCGCTAATGATGGTGAGAATGTCATGAAGGTGATGATTTGGTGAGAATGTTGGCTGTGCAAATAATAACGACGGCTACTTTGCGGTGGGTGATGATGAACATGGGCGATGAGGAAGACGATGATCGCTGTCGTCATAAGTAGGATGATGAAGATGACTATATTAATGAGAATGATGATAAAGATGATGACGACTATAGTGATGAGAATGATGATGAAGGTGATGGCGGCTTTAATGATAAGGATGATGATGTAGATGATGATGACTATAGCGATGAGAATGATGATGAAGATGATGACGACTATAGTGATGAGAATGATGATGAAGGTGATGGCGGCTTTAATGATAAGGATGATGATGTAGATGATGATGACTATAGCGATGAGAATGATGATGAAGATGATGACGACTATAGTGATGAGAATGATGATGAAGGTGATGGCGGCTTTAATGATAAGGATGATGATGTAGATGATGATGACTATAGCGATGAGAATGATGATGAAGATGATGACGACTATAGTGATGAGAATGATGATGAAGGTGATGGCGGCTTTAATGATAAGGATGATGATGTAGATGATGATGACTATAGCGATGAGAATGATGATGAAGATGATGACGACTATAGTGATGAGAATGATGATGAAGGTGATGGCGGCTTTAATGATAAGGATGATGATGTAGATGATGATGACTATAGCGATGAGAATGATGATGAAGATGATGACGACTATAGTGATGAGAATGATGATGAAGGTGATGGCGGCTTTAATGATAAGGATGATGATGTAGATGATGATGACTATAGCGATGAGAATGATGATGAAGATGATGACGACTATAGTGATGAGAATGATGATGAAGGTGATGGCGGCTTTAATGATAAGGATGATGATGTAGATGATGATGACTATAGCGATGAGAATGATGATGAAGATGATGACGACTATAGCTATGGCTGACGATGACGGTAGCTAACAACCCTGTTCGACATGACGTCTGACTCATTCCACGAGACATTACATAACAATTAATGTGAGTGCATCGTCACGGAAAATATAATAAGATCGATGATTTCCTCTTATTTTACTGGAACGACAACGGTAAATATTTTTCTTAATTTATCTCATTTCGATCTAACTAATTGGACATTTGTAACGTATATACATGCGTCAATAGATTGCTTACGCACATGCGATCAATGATAATGATAATAATAATAATAGCAATAATAATAACAATAATAATAACAATTAAAATAATAATAATAAAAACAAAATATACATAATTTTCCATGTAGAAATAACAACTGTTTAAGTGGAAATGCATTCATTCGTTTGGTGGTGGCCGAGTATAGGACATTCGTACATGTGATCTTTGTGCAGAAATGGCTTGCTGTCTGACGATGATGACGTATTCGCTGACGTCATCATCGTCATCGTTGCCTGGTGTGGTGGTGAGTTCTTCGGTGTTAATACTTGCTTGCAGCTGTTGGAATCAATTTTTTATTTTTGCGTTAAAAAAAATTCAATTTTATTTCACAAAAAAAATAAATTTATAAATTTGATAATTTTATAATATCAAAAGCTAGTCACACCTATTCACCTCTCAGAGTTCTTTGCGCAATTGTAACCCTGCGAACAAACGATTCTCGGAGTCGTACAGCAACGTGAATGGTAATCGCCCATCGCTATATCGGCACATCCCTGCACGCCATATTGGCCTTCTTCCGGAAAAATTTGTGTCTGCGGTAGATAGGCCTGTTGTTGTTGTTGTTGTTGTTGCTGCTGCTGCTGCTGCTGTTGTTTTTGTTGGTGCAGTTGAAGAAGTTGCTGCTGGTAATGTTGTTGTTGCTGTTGCTGTTGCTTGTAGGAGTCGAGAGGGAGATCGAGTGAATATTGGGTAAGCATCTCCAAGCGACGTTCCTGTTCCATCGTCTGCTTCATCCTTTTCCTGGTGGTGATGGTGTGGTGATGGTGCTGATGGTGGTAATGATGTAATGATGGTGGTGGCGATGATGGTGGTGGTGATTTAATGATGTTGGTGACGATGATGATGGTGGTGATGATGATGGTGATGTGGTAATGATCACGGTGGTTATCATGGCTGGGATGATGATGATGTGGATGCGAATGAGGATGACGTCACAAATACCCCCCTTCCCCCTCAATCCTTCTATACAGACCTCTTCAAAATCACAATGACGACAGCCAGTAAGGAACATCCGATGATGACGCCGATGATGACTCCCAGTCCTACCACCATCAGTATGCCTTTGGGTTGTTGTTGTCGTCACTCAATCACTCACTCACTCATTCATTCGTTCGTTCGTTCGTTCATTCATTCATTCATTCGTTCATTCATTTATCCATCCATCCATCCATCCATCCATCCATTCATTCATTCATTCATTCATTCATTCATTCATTCATTCATTCATTCATTCACTCATATAACGCACCGTGAGTAGTAGTACTTGCCCGCTCTAAAGCTGCCTGAACACTCCACGACGGCTTCATTTCTGATGGCGTGATTAAATCAATTAAAATTTAATTAAATTTAAATTTAATGAAATTTAATTGAATTTAAATTAATTAAATTAATCTATTTGATCACAATAATCTGTTATGTTATGCTACAATCGTAGTTAGCATTCATTGCTGTTATTTAACATGTATCAAAGATAACATAATGGCTGAGTAAAAATCGGTGCTAAAATTTTTCAATACCTGAGTGATTGCAAAATGAATTGATTAATGAATGAATGCATGAATGAATGCATGCATGGATGAATGAATGAACAAGAGAATTTTATAATATCTAGGTTGATAGATAGATATAAAAACCAATCCCAAATAGCCGAAACAAAGAAAGAAAGAAAGAAGAAAATGAATAAACAGATGAATAAATGTTTACGTGTGACGGTACAGTTTGCAATTGCTCAATAAGCACCTTCTGCTTGTAATGTGTCTCAATGCCATTGCGTGTAGGTAGTACTCTTCAGTACAAATACACAGGCGAACACACACACACACACACACAAACACACAAATACTGTCATGCACTGATTAAATTATGGAATTATTATTTATAGTGCGAGGTTATCAGGACCTATCATGAGTGCAATACCCTTTCTTCGTGTTCTTTCCACCTATGTAAATATACCTGAGGTGTTTTGTGAACTTGTATGCGTGTGTGCGTGCGCGTGTGTGTTCTGTGTTGTACGTTGTACGTGCATTTCTATATATACAGATACAGTTTTGTTACTTTCACGCATAGGTAAATACACGTATGTTATTAATATTATATTATTAATATTGATACTATGAGCAAAAATGGTGTAATGTATGTGTGCGTGCGTGTGTGTGTGTGCGTGTGTGTGTGAGTGTGTGTCTGCGTCCCTAAATACATGCACTCTAATCAAATTAAATTGCCTCTGTACTCGGCATAAAATATGGAATGATTCAAACTGATTAAAAGTGCATTTCTATTCAAAACTTCAACTCTATTGAAGCATGCATGTTTGTGTTTGTTTGTCTGCTTGTTTGTATATGTCTGCATGTTTTATTATTTGTTTGTTTGTATGTGCGCGTAGAAAAACTCAGCTGATGTTGCCATACAATAATATTGCAACATATTTACAATACCACACCACATTACATTGATACATCAATATCCTATATCCAAGTCAACATCACAATAATGGTTGTTTCAGCATTACATTAACTATAAGACATCAACGTCACGTCAACATTATAACAACATCACATCCAAATCACATCAAAAGCATTTTCCTTCAGTTGAGTGTTAAAAACAACTCTATATAATAAATTGTGACATGTTTTAAAACCGCCATTAAACAAAACAAAAGCAAAACTAAATATAAAATTATAGCATTATTGTAGCGCGTATCTAAATGAATTACAATTTTTTTATTAATTTAAATGAAAATAATGAAACAAATTTAATTTGGAATAATTTCGTTTCGTTAATACATGATGCTTTGCAGCTCCACTCACCACACACTAGCCACATTTACGCAAACTGATGCAAGTTTTATTTTCATGTAGCCTGAGTTTAATTGTTTTTAGTATAATTCATGTTTTATTATTTTAATAAACTTTGTATTTTATTTCATTCACCTCGTTTAATTAATTCGCGACAATTAGTTTAATAGAACAATACAATTTTTTTTAGTTTCCATGAAATATTAATCATTTTATTGAATGAAAGTGAAAAAATAAAAGGTGTACAGAAGTTAAAAAAAAACAGCCGCTTGTTATACAAACGCAACTTCATTTATGCTGTACGTGATGGCAGTGTTTGTGGAACTTGTGCGTGCGTACATATAGATGACTACTAATACTTATAGACTTATACACTGGTGTGTGGTATCCTTTTTTTGCAATACTTTCTTGAGTTATTTCCAAAAAAGTATCATCAACAAAAGACACGCCACACGGCATGTAAGTACGCGAGAATTCAACCATGACACGTCTTGCTTTTAATAAGCGTGTTTACTTTTCCAGTCAAATCCAGCCTAGCAGAAGCAATAGTTCCAGGTATTAATTTAGTGAACATTTTTTTAGCGTAAGTAATGGTAGTAAAGACAAAGAGTTGTATCTTTGGTATAGTATAAAAAATGTATCGGCAGCGGTAATAGTAGTAGTAGTAGTTGTAGTAGTAGTAGAGGTTGTACTAGTAGTAGTTGTAGTAGTAGTAGTAGAAGTAATAGTAGTTGTAGTAGTAGTAGAAGTAATAGTAGTAGTAGTTGTTGTTGTCATTGTAATAGTAGTATTAGTGGTAGTAGTAGAAGTAGTAGTAGTAGTTGTAGTAGTAGTAATAGTAAATGATAGCGACAGTAGTAGTAGTAAAATGTTAATAGCGCATTGAAGGCAGTAAATCTTAAAAGCAATAGGACATTAAATAGAATTGATAAGGTGTTCCTATCTCCTTTAATGACATTGTGTCAAATATGCAGGGTGTGTACATTGTGCGTTCGTTGTACGCACATTGTGTCAAGTATGTGTGCCGTTTGTACACGCACACGTATACATTATCTATTTATACGTTGTTGGAAGCATTCTTCACTTTATTTTTTGCTTATTAAATTATAATGAATTTGTTGGATGGTTGTATTAAATAATTAATTTTTTATTTTAACATTTTTTACTAATTAACTTATTGAAGTTATTTACTCATTTTTTTTATTAATTCAACTATTTATTCAAAATCTTGCTTGTAGATCAATCATAGATCAATCGTAATAATACAAAAAAACCTTCTTACATTCGAATTTACAGCCATATTCTTACACGAACAAAACATAATGGTACACACATACAGTAAAACACATGCATATGACAATATAAGTGTACATATGCAAAAATACCCAGGTGTACAAATATATACACAATTGCGTGTGCGTTCGTAAGCAAAAGTATCTAGGTACACGAAGGCCTTGCGACACATTCAGTTTTGTTGTGATAGGATTAGTGATAGGGAATTAGTTATGAGGCCAAATATTTTAATGCTGGTGATGGCTAGCTAGCAATGTATCTTCCTCTTTTTACTCAATTTGTCATCTATCTTTCCATCCATCTGTCTACCTATTTATTCATTTATTTATTCATTTATTTATCCATCTATCCAATCATTTGTCTATACATCCATCTATCCATCCATCCATCTATCCATTTTTTTAAATTTATACATACATTCATTTTTCCATCCAACCATCGTACATCAGCCATGCACATTGTTCATTTTTTATTCTGTTATTCCTCCACTCTCTCTCTCTCTCTCTCTCTCTCTCTCTCTCTCTCTCTCTTCTTCATCTTCCTGATTTAAACATCTGTGTTCTCCTTAACTGAGCTTCCTGATTTATCAAATAAATCACCGCAATGAAATTAAATATGCATGCATGTTACTGTTTAACTCTTCTTTCACTTTGTTTATTTTAAATGGTTTGTTTGAGTTTGTATCTTCTCACGTGATACTATGCATGTTTCTGAATGTTTTGTATACGTTGAAGTTCATAATGTTTTTCAAAGGAGACATTGCAATAATATCTTGTATGTTATGCGACTTGTGACCGTGTGAAAACCAGGCATATGTCAAGTAAAATGAACGTGAAATAAAACCCAAAATTATGAAAAACATCGAACGCAATAACGTGTTGTATGCATAATTATTAAGTCTACTTATGTATGTGTGTTTATGTGCGTGTTTGTGTGCGTGTTTATTTGTTTGTTTGTGTGTGTGTGTATGTTGTATGTGCTTGTGTGCATTTAATCTCACGTAGATTATGTTTGTAATTAGGTTGTTTATGTTGGCTAAGATGAAGATAAGGATGTTGATGTTACGGTAGTTGTTATTGATTCTCTTGCTGATGTCATTAATGATGTATTTATGTTGTTATTGATGTTATTGGTGACGTATTTGTGAATGTTATTGATGAGAGATGTTAAGAGGACGATGTTGATGTAATGTTGATGATGTCATGACGTCACGGTGTCAATGACATTGATGATAATGACAACAACGATCAATTGAAACGCGTTATTTTCAAAATCATGAAAAAACTCAACTTTTCAAAAAAATAAGCAATAATGTAATAAAAAATGGATAGAAAATGAAGAGGGCTGAATGGAAACGGAAATTAGTTGCTTATCGTTCACTAGAGTTCAATTGAGCGAGCGAGCTAAGTTATTTGTTCGGCTGCGGTTATCTTCCCATGCACTTTATTGCAGTGACACATATCTAATTAAACTAACAAGAGACATGCCTAAATACAAACATTTATACATACATACAGACAGACAGACAGACGAAAAGTCAGACAGACAGACAAACAAACACACAAGAAATATATAATAAAGTATTTCAATAATTTTTATATACATATTCATAAATCCGACAAAATTATAGCATAGTTTAAGCTTAAGCACATG